CGTGTGGCAGCTTGGACATTCTAGAACTGGGATTGTGGAGGGCCTGCCACTGTGTTTCACCCTGGTTTGGTTTCAAGCATCTGTTTCCAAAGGTCTGGGTTACCTGGGAAAGTAAAAGGAGGAAGGGTCCTGACAGCTCAGTCGTGGAAGCAGGGCCTGGTGTCAGAGAGACTGTTTCAGGGAAAACATTCTCTGGAGGAGGATGAATAAACTTAGTTATTTTGTTTTCTGGTTTTTCTCTCTCCTCTTCTTAACCTCTGTACTCCTGCATCAGGCTGGTCTTCCTGGTCCTTTCCAGACTCTGATATTTAGGTTATAAAATGTCACAGAATCCTGTAGACCCATGATTTCCAAATTCTGGGGGGGGGCGGGGAGCATGGCACATAGCTTGCGAGATCTTAGTTTCCTGACCAAGGATTGAACCCATGCCCTCAGCACTGAGTCCTAACCACTAAACCACCAGGGAATTCCCCCAAGTATTTTGTGTTGTTTTTTTGTTTTGTTTTTTCCCCCCAAATGTTTTGATTATGTGCCCTGTTGGTAAAGGGCTGCGTGTATTTATATATACATGCACATATAATTTATTTATAGGATTTATACAGGTTCTATGATCACCAGCAAATCTCTGAAGACAGAGCTTACACTTAGCATCTCAATTTAGATTAGATACACTTAGCATCTCAATTTAGATTAGATACATTTAGTATCTCAAATTATCCTTTTGATAATTTAAAATCTTTTTTGCCAATCTCTTGCTAAATTTTATTATAAGGTAAAAGAAAAAAAAAACAATGATCAGTGGTTAATGTGACATACTAGAGATAGGAACAGAGTCAGCTCTGCTATTTATCTTAACGTTTCCCTGTGCTCACATATTAGCATTTAGATACTGGTTTTTCTGAGCATTGTTCAGGGCTACTTTTGGTTAATATCAACAAATAGATAATATAATCAGTACATTCCTGTTAGGGCTTCCCTGGTAGCTCAGACTCTAAAGAATCTGCCTGCAACACTGGGGACCCGGGTTCGATCCCTGGATCAGGAAAATCCCCTGAAGAAGGGCATGACAGCCCACTCCAGTCTTCTTGCCTGGGAAACCCCATGGACAGAGGAGCCTGGGAGGCTATTGTCCATGGTGTTGCAGACAGCTGGACATGACTGAATGGCTAACATTTTCACATCCTGTTAACCAGGACTTGAAATTCGCAGTAGTGCCCAGCGATACTCCAGCAGTGAAGGAAAATGGGGTGGCTGTTGCCTGGCCCTCTGCACTGGGCCAGCCCATGGGCCATTCTGTCAAAGCTGGTCTGACCCGTGGCTGGCCTGCATAGGGATAGAGCATCCCAGGGTCAGTTTGTAGAGTGGATATTAATAAAGCTTAATTTCCTAATTTTGTTTAAAAGTAATGTTTTCTCCTGCATCTCAGTGGATTCTCCTGCTTGTTTTGGAGACGCTCTAGACAGTGAGTGGAAAGTCAAACCTTCCTGCTGATAGATTCTCCCATTCTTTCTTAAGGATAAAGTTCCTGTCTTTTAGGGAACAACTGAGGACAGAAGTTATCTTTAGATATTGGACAGAGATTCCCTTGGTGCAGCTTTTTTTTTTAGAGGGGTGGAGATGTTGTTGGCACTTCCAAAGTCTTGAGGGTAGGGCATCTGAGTCAGGCAGTGAAGGGTTGGGGGCTCCAGGTAACCCTGTTCAGCTCCCTCCTCATGGGCAAACCAGCCAGATATTCAGCCCTTTGTGTCAAATGCATATGCATTTGCACTGTGGGACAAGAGACAGGGGTACCAACACAGAGCGGTGTCTCCCTGCGCGAACACCAGCACCTCTGAGCCTTTCTTGAAAGCCAATAAATTCCATCTACTTACTGTGATAATCATTAGTTATCTCTCACTGCATACACGCTACCCACAAATACAGCGGTTTAATACAACTATTCTTGTTACTTGGTAGTCTCTGCAGGTCAGAAATGTGGGCGAAGCTTGGTGGATCTGCTCAATCTTGCACGGCTATAAGCATCTTGGGGCTCCTCTGGGGTAGCTCTGAATTCAGGCTAACTCATGTAGTTCCTTGTGGGCTGCTGAACCGAGGGCCTCAGTAGCTCAGGAGCTGTTACAGCAGCAACAGAAAATGAATACAGGCTGAACTGAAGAGCAAAATGGCTCTTAATGGCTGTGCTTGGCTTTAATATAGGTAATTTGCTGATTTTTAAAATAAGCATCTTAAAAAAGGCTAAACTTGATTTATACATTCATCTTCATAAGGAGAAAATGCTACTTCTTGGGTGTAAGTAGATAAAGGGGCAGTGGGGCATCACTTGGAAGGGAGATCCCAGTTTAGTCCCTCCAAAGTAGAAAGAACAAGGTTCATTTCTGTGTTAAAACTGCTGGAAAGATAAGTTCCTTTCTTCTTTCGGAGACTTAGAGGGAAACGGTGATCAAGCAACCTTTAAACATAGAAAATTAGGGAATTCCCTGGCAGTCAGTGGTTAAGACTCAGTGCTTTCACTGCTACGGTCCATGTTTAATCCCTGGTTGCAAAAGTAAGATTCCAAGAGACATACAGTGCAGGGGAAAAACAAAACAAAACAAAACCAAAAGTAGAAAATTAAATAAAATGAAGTCGTGTGAACAAGTTTTTTTTCCCCTTCCTCATTCCCCTGCTGTGTTCTCAATTTCCAGTTACAGGATATATTTTTGATTTGGGGTTAGATGCTATAAGTTAGGCTATTTAGAGTCTGTCCTCACAGTTTGTTAAAATTTGACTGGGGAACTGATTTGCCTGTCAAAGCTAAGAACAGTGTCAGGGCTTGTTATCCTTTCCCTCACCTTCTAAGATGCATTCATTCAGTTTGCTTTTCTGAGAATCAAAAAGAAGGCCATTGTGCAACCTGCAAAAGGCAGTCAGAGATATTTGCCCTTGGAATTTTTAGAACATGTCTGCAACACAAACACGCATTGCTGTTACACAGTCAAAATAGTGTACTGATTGGGACCCTAAACTTTTCATAGTAAAAAAATCACAATTAGTGATTCAAAATATTAGAGCTAAGGACCCCACAAATGGTCTATAGAACAATATTGTTTTAAATACAAGCCAGCATTAAAGTTAAAAGTTTTTATTTTGTAATTGAGCAAGAAAGATGGGTGGGGGGTGGGTAAGTGAATTTCAGTTTACCTGAAAAGCTTTTGCAGCCAGGAAAATATTGACAAAGTAATAAAAAATTGCTGAGTACATGCTGTGGGCCAGGTACTCTCTTGAATGGATGATGAAGGGCACTGAGACCTGGAGAAGTGACTTGTCCAAATGGACAGAGCTAATCATTTGGTAGAGCTGAGGCTGAACTCCAGATCTTCAGACTATCAAGTTCTATGGAGTGCTTTTGTTTAAGCTGGGTTTTTTTTTTTTTTTTTTTGTGGCCTAGGAATCACAGCATTGTTCTTTCCTAGTAGCAAGGCAGGCAGCGCTATAATATGGGCAGAGAGCTCTCTTCGGAAGGATGGAAGACCCTGCTCTCCCCATTCATGAATATCTCTTAGTGGTTTGTACATGTACTAGGAAAGGTAAGTAGTGAATGGTAGCCCAGAGAAAGCCACACTATTGCATATCAGCTGGAAAGTCAACTTGCACCCAGAACACAGTACATTCTTTCCTACAGTTTATATACTTAGAAGTTAGGAGGACAGGAGAAGGTAGGGGTGGGGAGGGATAGCAGGTGGATGTGGGGAGGGGCATGAGTTCTACAGGGCCAGAGGGTCAATCAGTAAGTTCTGCAGAAAGGTATGTTGTTTGTTTGCTAAGTCGTGTCTGACTCTTTTCGATCCCTTGGACTGCAGCACTTCAGGCTTCCCTGTCCTTCACTGTCTCCCGGAGGAAGCCTTTCTCCAGGGAGAGAGGTTCCTAGCTACTGGGCACATGGAGGCCCATATCTTGCCACGGGAGGAGTGTCAGTTATATTCAGTACACTCAAATCCCTAAATTCAGTTCTATGTGTCTCTCCATAAATTCCCAATTTTTCATGCTTATCACTCAGTGTGAAGTCTTCAGTGCTTGGCAGGTGATCCATTTCAAGTCGAAATCTCCAAGGTGTGAGGCTGACAGGTTAAGTTTATAAAAATCGAGAATTCTTAGGAAAACTATAACACATAAGTGGGGACACTAAGAATTTTGGAGCTGGGGTTCTCAAGGCTGGAGAAAGGGGTTCTTCAGCTCCCCAAAGTTTGGGAAGTTTGGAGTTCATCCAGGACTTAATAGAAGGCACTATTAAGAGACAAACGCCAAGAATTCAGGGCTGGCTCAGGATCCAGGGATCGGGAGCACCGCGTATATTGGGGGCCTGCTAAAATTCAGATTCCTTGGCCCTACTCCACACATAATAGCTGCGGTAGGACTCCTCAGGGGATTCTGATACCTCCAGTCTAGGTGCTGACATTTGAGAAAGCACGGGCTGCGGGTTGGTTATCAAGCTCAGGTTTGCAGAACAACCGTATAAGGATGAAAGCTTTAAAGAAATCGTGGAGCCTTTGCAGGGGAGGAATACAATGGACTAGCTTTGGGAAGGACAGGCTGGTTCAGAATGGATTTGGCACCCTAGGAGGGTCTGGAAGGGTACTTAATTCGGGAGGAGCAGGCAGAGGGGCGGGTCCGGGTGGGGTAACAGCGCCTAGATCAGCACCCGTAGCAAAGAGCGAGCTGTGTTAGCGTTGTTTCTCAGTGTCCGCTTAGCAACGAGGGGCTCCAGGAGCGGAGTGCCGAGGAGCGGAGCGCCCATCCGCGGGCTCCGCCAGGGCCGTCTACACCCCTGACCTTTCGTCAGGGCGCCACCAGGCCCACAAAGCGACGCCCAGTCTGGTGGCTCAGAGCGAACCACGCGCTCAAGCGGCGGCCCCGGACGCCCTCACCTCTGGGAAGGGACTGGCATGCTCCTTCCGGGCGGTAACTACCGCTTCCCCGCCCCTCCCTACGTCACAGGGAGAGGGACGGGCCGGCGCTGTGACGTCACCGGCCGGGTGCCAGCGGAAGGACGTGCGGCGGCGGTGCGGCCTGGGCAACGGCCGATCTAACGATGGTTGGGATGTCGGCTCTGAAGCGACTGTCGCCTTTCGCTCACGTTGGAGGCCACCTCTTCAGAGGCCGCTGCGCGCGGGCCGCTGGAGCCGGTGGCGTCCGTCGGTGAGTATTGCCTGGGGTTGGGGCTTCGCCCGCTTCTACAGGAAGGCACTAGCCTTCAGGACGCCCTCACCTTGACGCCAAGCCTCAGGGGCTTATCCTGGTCTGCGGCGGCCTCCACCCCTGAGGTATGCTGGGACTTGTAGTCTGACGGCGCGACGCCGGGCCCGGGGGAGCCGATAGAGGTGTGTATCTGAAGGTCCCGGCCCCAGAGGGAGGCTGCCCCCTGGAAGCTGATCAGTTGAACAGTCGGAGACAGTTGGAGTTAATCTGGAAGCAAGGACAGGAACTGAGGAGGCGAGGGCGTCACGCAGAGGGAGTCACCTGTACAGGATAGTTTGAAGCTTCAAGCTCGAGGCAAGGTGAGGCCGGAGACCTCGGGTCGTAGGGAAAGAATGGTAGAGGCTCCTTGTGCGTGGCTTTGTGCTAGTTTCCCTGGTGGCTCAGACAGTAAAGGATCTGTCCGCAATGCGGGAGACCCGAGTTCGATCCCTGGATCAGGAAGATTCCCCCGGAGAAGGGAATGGCAACCCACTCTAGTATTCTTGCCCGGAGAATCCTCTGGACGGAGGAGCCTGGCGGGCTACGGTTCATGGGCGTCACAAAGAGTCGGACACGACTGACCGACTAAGACACACAGGCCTGCCTGATTTCCAACAGAGGCGCTGATCGGTCGTTTTAATCAGATGCCACGTGGCTACATTTTAATTCTAAAAAATTACTATGGTTGCAGAGTGGAGAATAAGTGCTCCAAGGCACGAGAATGGAGTGGGGAAGGGTGGGAAGAGAGCCAAAAGTGGATGCTTGGGCAGTGTCGGAAGTTTTCTTTTTAAAGATATTTTGTAGAACAGTTTTCTGTTTCCAAAACAAAAATTGAGAGGAAGGTACAGAGATTTGCCATAAACCCCCCAAGCCACACGTGCATAGCTTGCTCCATTATCAGCATCCCCCACCTGAGGGTACCTTGACAGATTATTGTCACCCAAAGCCCATAGTATCCTTTAGAGTTTACCTTTGCAATACCAGAATTTAAGAGAGAGAGCAAAAGCAGAGTCACCCATGATGTAGCGGGAGAAACCCACGGGAGAGTCCAGTGCTGATGCCAAGGGAGGGCAGGTCTACCAAAAGCACGCTGGGAGTGCAGAGAGATCCAGTAAGAGCAGGAATGAAAACAGTACCCTGGATTTTTTCAGGTGATGTTCCAGGCCTTTCCGACCACGGTCCACACTTTACCAAGAGGCATTGCAGAGGGTGGTTTAAAAGCAGGATTCTGCCCCCAGACTATTCAGATCTCACCTCTGCCACGCTCTTGCTGTATCATCTTGGAAAAGTTTCATGATCTCTTAAGAACTTAGTTTTCTCACCAGTTTAATTGGGATAATAATGTTGACTTCCAGGGAAGTAAATGAATAACAAATCTCTGAAGTGTTTTTACCAGATTTGCTGGTGCCTTATAAAGACCAGACAAATATTGTATAAATAGCTGTTGTTATTAGGGAACTGAGACCCAGCTAAATGAAAACAGTGACTTGCTTAAAGCCACGTGTCTGTTATGAATATGGAACTGGGACAGACGTAGGATGGAGAGAAGGAAAAGGCATGTGTGACCTGAGAAGGACAGAGATCGAGAGCCACCAACAGCAGCCTTTGAGCCTGCATGGGAAGACGAGGGGGTGTCCCTCTCTGCTGCGCTCTTGGTACTTCCATACCAAGATTTAATGACATTAAAAGTTAAAAAAAAAATTAATCTGCTGTCGTAGTTTCTATTTGGAGGGATGTTCAGGCCTATCTAGTTTGCCTTAGTGCAGTTAACAACCTCTCGGAGCATAAAATTAGATGTTTGTCGACTCTTTATATTTTTTAATCATGGCAATCATTATGTCATCCATCCTTTCTCTAATTGCAGTGTTTCAAATCTTCGTTCAAAAAGATTTATACCTTGCAGTCAATGACCCACTTATTTCATAGTTAAAACAAGATGTAACTCTCACAATAATGAAATACGGAGAGTTCCTGGGAAGGGGTTTAAACTATAATTTTCAAAACTTATTTTAAATGAGTTTAACTGATGGGCACTTACTACTAGATTGTATCTAAAACCTATCAAAGAGGAAGCCTGTTGTTAACATATTGAATTCCCACCCCCATGGTTTGTTTATATAATGTAGTATCTGTGTGCACAGATAGCTCCTGCATAGGTACTGTCAAATAAAATTGGCATACAGAAACAGTCTGATAAATTCAGGGTAAAGTAGTGATGCTTGACAGAAGCTTTTAAAAGTAACATGTCGTGCAGAGGGTTGTTGGTGGCTTGAACAATAAATGCACATGGAAGCACTTTGTAATCTGTAAAGTTCCATACAAATGTAATATCGTATTCTCAGCAAAAAATTAGTACTATATGTTACTAAAAGAGTACCTAAAAACTGACTAAAGTTTAGAAGCTGGCTTTAATAAATGTTTGAAAAAAAAAGTAATATATGGTCACTGTAAAAAAGGATACATACTTACATGAATACACACATGCATGCAGAAAGAATAAAACCCATTTCTTATACCGTCCATAGCTAATTACTGTTAATATTTTATATAGAACCTTTCAAATAAAAATGTTGATAGATATTTACATAAATATGGAATTAATGTTGTTTGTGGGCAGTATTTAAGAGCTTGGCGCTTTGCCATCAAACAGTAATACTCCAGTGTCCTCATTTGTAAACACTGATAACCATAGATCTATCTCATCAGGTTGTTTTGAAAATTAAATGATAATATATAAAGTGCTTGGTGTGGTGTCTGACAGGTGATAAGACACTGTAAATAATATTAGTAATCTTTTAGAGTAGAAGAGAATAAAAGGGTACTAGGTAATAAGTATCAAGAACCATGGAAGTATTAATGTTCACACAACTGTAGTGCATTTTGAAGTAATTTTACTGAAGTTTTTGTACAGATACTCATTTCTGTGTCAAACAAAAGGGAACATTGTTTTATAAGCTGATTCTTACCTGGAATGAAATTTGTGAACATGTTTTATATAGAAATGTTCTTTGAAATTCAATATCCATTTCTATGTAATAGTATATGTATAGCTGCTGAAAAGGACTTGAAAGTAGCCCCATTAAGTACAACTTACATTATTTATGTTAGATTCAAGCTATAATAATAATCCAACAAAATAAAATGAGTAGAGTCCTATGGATGGTATCCCACACCTTGTCAACAGTATCTAAATGAAAAAACAAAAACCAGAAAAACCTGTTCAAACTTACTGTTTAAGTTTCTTTGTTCAGTGCTGTTGCCTTATTAAAAAGGATCTAAGTTTTCTTTTCCATAAAGTGGTCTTTTAATAACGATTGTGTTACTAATACATAATTTGTCTTGGAAGACATGTTTTGTCTTGGAAACAGATGGCTCTCCAGAACAAAATTTGCTGATTTGTTTCACTGGATAAGCTAATGACCTACTGCAGATTCATGATCCTTTAACAACCATGTGGGGCCAGTACCCCGCTAATCAGCACATTCGTATCTGGTGTAAAATGTATGGATATTCACTCAATGAACATCATAATTAGCCTCTCCTTCAGGCCAGTTTTTGCCGCTGCACACGTTTACAGCAAGCTTATGCAAGTGGAGTATTTTGAGGGACCATTATCATTCTGTTTTTTTTGTGTGTTGGAGGAGAGAAAGAAAGGTTTAGTTTCTGGCTGTAACTCATAGAGTTTTAGATGAGCTCGAAGACAAAGCAAGCTGCTTCACACATCCGTTTTGTCATGTAGAGCTGGCGGAGGTGTGCACATCGAGCCTCGGTACAGACAGTTCCCGCAGCTGACCAGATCCCAGGTGATCCAGGCTGAGTTCTTCAGTGCGACCATGTGGTTCTGGATTCTCTGGCGCTTCTGGCACGACTCAGATGCTGTGCTGGTAAGTGCAGGAGAGTAGTCCCTGTCCTTCTTTGGGTGTGGGGAGGGAAGATCTGTTAACAGCTTAGATTGTTTTTCTGTTTGTAGCCTGTTCATCTATCTGGAGGTATGTTGTCCTTATGTATATGCAGGGATCTTTTTATTTTAGGAAACATTATCATCTCTGACCTTTTCCACCCAGGGATATACACGTAGTACTGTGTGTCTTACAGTTGCCAATTGGTGGCCGTATCTGGAAGGGAGACTACAGAAGCTAATTCTCTTACCTTCCAAGCTGGGTAGGGGGTCATCGGCAGGTTAAGTTTCACCCTTAAATGCCTTTAAATGATACATGTCACCTAGTCTGTGTAGAGGCCCAAGGCAGCAGGTTGAGGTGGAATGGATATGAGCTAATTCACCTGAAGCAGGGAAATTAATTACTGGTGACTTTCTAACATGTAACTGGCCTCATATGAGCTTTTAATCATATTTGCACAGATGCCATTCTCTAGGAAATTACACTTTTAGGCCATTGAAATCCGTGCTTATTGATCCAGAATACTTCAAATTTCAGTAAATTTAGTTACTTTTTTTTAAGGATAGGGAAAAATCAGATTTACACAGTGAGTTCTAGAAGCATCAGGTTGATTGGCGTCCCACTTCTCTTAGAATTTCTGTGCCCTTGTCCCCCAGAAAGAAGCCGCCTGGTGTCTGTGAACTGGCAGCACAGAGACACCTTTGTCTCACTGTGGGTCAGCTGTTAGGTCTGTGTGTGGCTGTCTGGCAGGAGACGATGACACGCCCTAGATCAGGATCAAAGCGGAATGAGTCCACCCGAGGCTCCCAGGTGTCCCAGCAGGAACGACAGGACAGTTTGAGACAGTGTTTTGTCAGGGAGTCAAGACAACACTGTTGTCAAAGGATTTACAACAATTCAGGGACTGTTGTGACGTGGGGTGTCAGAAATCTGTTGTCTCCGTTTCCCTTCCCTTCCATCCAAAACTCATACTCAAATGGCGGCTCAGGCGGAAGCTCCAAAATGGCCAAGCTTCTCAAATTCAGGCCGCGGCGCATTCTGAACATATTGAAGAATAGTTGGACCATCAGATGGTTGAAGTGTAATAGAATTTGCTCCTGGGGTATATCAAGGATTGTTTATTATTTAAATCACTTTCCTCCCCAAGATTTCTTTTAAAATTTAATCAACTGTATGGAGTATAGATTATTAATAGTTTTGTGAAGTATAGATTCCTGAACTTTTTTTTAAATTGGTTGTCCTTAGGGTCACTTTCCTTATCCCGACCCTTCCCAGTGGACGGATGAGGAATTGGGTATCCCTCCGGATGATGAAGACTGAAAACAGAGGCTCAGCTCTTGCCAAATGGGTGCACCCCATGTTTCTTGTTATGTTTAACATTTGTCTGTAAACATGTTTTGACTTTGCACCTATGATGGTTCCGAAGAAACAGTGCATTTTATAATAGCATAAAGAATAATTAACACATCACGTCTAATTTCTGCTTTTCCTATTTTCACATTTGCTGTCATTCTGCCTCCTCTTCCCCCTACACACTTTTAGTCTTATCTTCCTTTTCCTTTTATGTTTCAAAAAATTATTTTTTCTTAAGCTTTGTTACAGTTTAGAGTCCCATTTGTCTGTCTATTGATCAAAGACTTTAAGCACCAGCTGTGCTGGACAAGATAGATAGCTTGTTTGTAGTTGCACAAATAGTTCTAATGAAAAATTTGAGCATATGGGAATGTTGCATATTGGAATTGTGTGGAAATCAACTCTTTCAATAGTAAAAGGTTATGGCCATTTCATTTTCCAGATCAGGAGGTTTTTCTTTCAAAAGGAAGGCACTGGGAGGAATTCTTTTCCTCACAAATCCTTCAGGGATTAAGACATTGTCATTTAAAATGTTTTTAAATCATTGCATGGACAATAGACCTAAAATAAAGCCCAGACTCTTAAAGCTTTTAAAAGAAAGCACAGGAGACTATCTTAATAATTTTAAGGCAGACAAAAAACTTTTGGAGAAAAAACAAAAGCACTGATTAAAAAAACAGTAAATTTTATTTAGCCTCATCAAAAATTTCTTTTATCAAAAGATACCATTAAGGACTGAAATATATAAGCCACTAATTTGGAAAAAAATATAGCATCTATATCCAGCAAAGGGCTTGTATCTGGTATATGTAAAGAACCCCTATAATCATAGATTAGATTAACAATCCAGTTGAAAAATGGGGAAAGGCCTTGAGCAGATACTTCACAAAGGAAGATACATGAATGGCTAATAATCACAAGAAAAAAGGCTCTTAATGTCATTAATCACCAGGGAAATGCAAATTAAAACTACAGTAAGATATCTTTTGTACTCACTAGGATGGCTAAAATAGGACTGACAACTTTAAATGTTAGTGACAGTTTGGAGCAACTAGCAATATTTGCTAGTAAGAATGTAAAACAGTACAACGATTTCGTAGAATTGTTTGGCAGTTTCTAATGAACTTAAACATGTGTATCCTAGGATTCAGCAACTGTATTCCTAGGATTTACTCAAGAGAAATGAAAACTGTATGTCCATAAAAGACATGTACAAAATTTTTCATAATATCTCCAAACTAGGCCTAATTGTACATCAATGAGAGAATAGATAAACATATTACAGTATATTCATTCAACTGAATAATAATTCACCAATTAAAAGCAACAAGCTATAAGACACAATCATTTAGATTAATCTGAGAGTCATCATATTAAGCAAAAGGAGTGACCGTCACTTAAAAGTACATAATTCCATTCATATGAAGTCTATATACTCGTGAAACTGTAGAGGTACGGTGGGGGTTATGTGGGTGTATACAGTTGTCAAAATTCATTGAATTGAACCCTTAGTATCTGCACATTTTAATTTTAATTACACCTCCATAAAAATGTAAAAAACAAAAACCATTGCATATTAATAATTGCCATCATTCAAAATACCTTGGAAATTGTTTTAAAGAATAGGAAGCATTAAGTGACAGTTATGTGTTCCTGTTAAATCAGACTACTAGTATTGCTGTTATTTTAATAAGAAGTCATTTATGGACATAAATATTACAGCAGTTTTGAGTATGTGGGGGTGGGAGTTGGGAGCAAACAGTTAAGCTGTTTTATAGCTTGTTTTGTGTCTCTGGCTTCGCTATGAACCAGGCAGAGGTCCCCGTCCTCACCAGGCCTTTGTTTCTCCAATGTTAATAGGTCTGCAGCACTAGCCTCTCCTATCTCTCATATATTTTCCAATATTCCTGCACACAGTCATTAACATTTTAATGATTAGACCATAAGCCTGTTGAGAAAGCAGGGTGATTTAACACCTCTGCAAGGCCATTCACATGATTGATGCTCAGTGAATGCTTGAATAGTTGAATGAACAAGAGCGATGGATTTGAAGCTTTCCAACTTTTGTTTCCCTGCAGGAGCCAGGTGAGAATTCAAGAAATTAAAGACATCATATTGTATATTAAAGTTGTAAATTAAAGTGTGTTGGTCAAGAATGAGGAACTGAGTTAGGGATATTTCTGATGATGACAGCCACCCTTCATGGATGATTTCCTGTGCACTGAACTGCTATGCCAATTGCTTATAGCCCTTTCGGTGGATCTTCTTGGGTACCCCATGGATCAGTGAGGACATCAGGGTTCAAGGAAATGAAGTGACCTTGCTTAGGGTCACACACTGCTGAGTGAATGACATTAGGTCCGACCCCATGCTCAACAGCAGAACCATAGTGCCTACCTGCTTAGCTGTCTTAGTCACATGTACATTGACAGTTTATGTGACGATCTTGCCATTTCTCTGCTGCTAGTGTTTTCTTGCCCAGAGTATACAGAGGTTAGAGGTCGGTGCAGTCCCTCTCGTGTTTATGTATCTCTTGCGGGCTGGACATTGTGTTGTCACCATTTGTGGAACTCTTAAGACATGTTTCTGTCTAGGAATTCTTAGGGCCAGAAGAATGAGATAAGGATGAAATAGGATAATGCAGTTTTTCAAGAGTTTGTTTCAAAGTACTTTTCAACTTTGTGTAGTATCATAGTTCTGAGAGGAGGTAGGACAGAATTTTTTCTATCCACAGTTAAACATGTGCACTAGAGTAGCCTAAGGACTTGCCCAGAAGCATAGCTGTTCACATTTTTATGTTTTTGACTATCTAGGTGATGGGAATGCCATGCTAAACAAGATAGATGAGAACTCAGACTTTGGCAAGGACAGAAAGCCAAGCAGAGGGTTGCCAGGAAGGCAGTTACACTGGCTGCTAGGTGGGTCTGTGCTGATCCTTTTCGGTAGATGGAAGGCTGAGCTGAAACCTGACCTGTAGCAGGAACCAGTTGTGTGGGGTCTGAAGGAAGAGTGCCCCGCGGACAAGGAATAGCAAGGACCAAGGTCTAGGGTGGGACCAGGGTCACCATGTTTAACGGACAGAAAGTCCACTGGGCTTCCAGGAGGGGAGGAGAGGGTGGGACTGGATGAGGTCAGGCAGTAAGAGAGCTGCTCACAAGCCTTAAGCAGGGGATGGTCCAATTTGAGTTCCTAGTTCCTAGGCTTTCACTCGCCCTCTGGTTCTCCCCAGTGGTCAGAGTGGGCACAATGGCAGCAGAAGCAAGTGAAACAGTTTTTCATCCTCCCCACTGTCGGCTCCAGCAGTCCTGGGCCTGGTGCACAGGTGTTGGACACTTCTGGTTTTGTGTTTCCTTACCTGTGTAGGAGTGTGCTGTCTCACCTGATAAATATTTATGGTCTTTAAAAGATCATCAGACTCCTATGTACTTTTTAGTTCTCAGTTTTTGTTGTTTTCCATTGCTGCTCCTCCCCCCATCAATAGAGTTGTTTGGGAAAGAATACGGTCTTTAACAGTGAACTCAAGTAGGATAACCCCATTAGCTTTTCCCCTGAGAGATCAATCAGAATTGCTTGACTTGAATTAAAAGATTACTTAAACTAGCCCTCTTTTAAAATCTGCCAATGTGGCCTCCATATGCTGAATCCTCTTTTCTATACCTGGCTGTGAAATCAGTTTGTGCTGATGCAAAAATTGTCCCAGCCAGCCTACTCTCAAAGGAACAAACCTCTTACTCTCAGATTCTTTCCATTTTAGAGATGAGTAAGTTGAACTTCCCTTGTGGCTCAGCTGGTAAAGAATCTGTCTGCAATGCGGGAGACCTGGTTTGATCTCTGGGTTGGGAAGATTCCCTGGAGAAGGGAAAGGCTACCCACTCCAGTATTCTGGCCTGGAGAATTCCATGGACTTCCCTTATAGTCCACGGGGTCGCAAAGAGTCAGACATGACTGAGCGACTTGCACTTCCAGCTTTAACTTTTAAGTTGAACTGTAGAGTGGTTAGGTAACTTCCCCAAGTTCCAACAGAGAACTAAGGTTCAAATCCTGGCTGTTTGGCTGTAGGTCTGAGTGAGGTAGATAGTGTAAAGCTTTGTGATCAAGACCTACCTACTCTTAAGAAGTCATTTTATGTCGTGATCTAGAGTGTGTATGTGTATACATGTATACATACATACATAATACAAAAGTTTTATGAAAACTTACATTTTCTTTCTTATTCTATTCTACATTTAAATGGTTGAGACTCATTTTACTACCCACTAATGGGTTTCACTTTGCAGTTTGGAAAATTGGCATAGTGAAGAACTCAGGCCCTGGAGCCAGACTTGCTGGGTCTGACTCCTAGCTCTGGTTTGGACAGATTACTTGTTTGAACTTTGCCTCAATGCCCTCATTTGTAAAATGGATTAAGTAGATTCAATGAATTTGCACATAAGCCCTCAGAACTACATCTGGCAGGAAGGAAATAACCTAAATGGAAGCAACTGTTATTTCCAAACCATTGGGTCTAAACTAAGTTTATAGTGACCCGTGAATCCTAGTTTGATTTTTATAAATAAGCCTCCACATGGAGACAAACTGTAAACATATTTCAGCAGATGCATAGCCACCGTTCTCCTCTGCCTAAAGCAAGACAGACATTTAGGATGGTTTTTTCTTCCTAGTGAGTGGCTAAAAGAACAAAGTTAGTTTTAGGCTGTGACCTGGTAGATGGAGAGATGTACCTTCATAAATGGAAAGGTAGGCAGTGAAAGAATTGATGGCAACAGAAAATATCGTGTCAAAATTTAACACACAAGTTTACCCAGTTTCCTATGGAAACTTGAGTGTAAGTAACACGATTAGATTACCTAATAAAGTTGTGAGGCGTGGAGGTACTGTGGAAAGAATGCTTCTTGTGCATCTTCCGGGAACTACAGATGTCCTCTTGGTCCCACCTACCTCTGGAACTAGTCTGTGGAAGAGGCAGACCCCGCTGCCTGTTGCCACCATCTCCTCAGGAGCCTCAGAGGACAGCAGTGCATAGTGGAGGAGACGGGAGCTGTCTGAGCCGGTACTGGCCTGCCTCAGTACTCGGCCTTGACCTTCTATCCCCTGCATGAGCAGTGGGCTTGTTGACTGGAGAAGACAGAAGAGCAAGTGGAATAGGCAAGTGGCACAGTCTCCTTTTCTAGCTACAAATTCAGTATCATGGAGTCAACACCAATTTTTATATCCAAATTTTGCTGTAGCCATCACAACCACATAGTGTGCATGTGTATTAAGTTGCTTCAGTCCTGGTCGACTCTTGGACCTTATGGACTGTAGCTTGCCAGGCTCCTCTGTCCATGGGATTCTCCAGGCAAGAATACTGGAGTGGGTTGTGGGTTGATATTTCAGTCACCAGGGGATCTTCCCCACCGAGGGACTGAACCAGCATCTCTTCAGTATCCTGCATTGGCCGGCAGGTTCTTTCCCACTAGCACCACCTGGGAAGCAAGTATATAGTAGTGATCTTGGAAACCTACTTACTGACATAGTAGTGATCTTGGAAACCAAAGTCCTGACTTTTTAGTCCTGGCTGCATGACTCCAGCCAAGTTATCCCTGGGGATTCATATTTAGTAGCTGACAAGGGGACCATGCAATCCTTAAGACTGAGTCACAAAAACTTGTTTTTGGTGGGGAGAGGACCATGCCCCATGGCTTGTGGGATCTTAGTTCCCTCACCAGTGATCGAAATCTCACCTCCTGCAGTGGAAGCATGGAATCCTAACCACAGGGCTGCCAGGGAATTTCCTAAACCAGGTGATCTTCAAGAGCTCTTTTGGCTCTTAATATTTCACAAGTCTAGGAGAACTACATAGCCTAGATAGTAGGCTCAAACTTTATCAAACCCCTGATAAAATTTAAGAAAAGCTAGTATGGTATGCTTCTTTATAATAATAGAATTTTATCACAATAATTAAAGGATTCATAATTCTGGACTAGATTTTAAGGAAAACTAGAACAATGCATTAAGAAGTGAATCCACAATTACACTCCATCATGTATGAAGGTTACTTAAAAGTTAGCTTCTGTTATGTGGTATTACAGAGTTACATTTTTCAGATGAGAGAACTGCAGTTCAGAGAAAATACTTGTCTCACTAGCATTTTATTATTCATTGGAGGGGCACAAAGATCAGAAACCAGGTTCCTCAAACATGTGCCATCTTGAAGACTTTTCTGTTTATATTGTTCTCAGACACAGGGTTTCCCGGTAAAGTTTTAGAATTATTTCTCTCTCTTCTGGAAACTTTGCCTGGTAATATATCACATAGTGTTGATGATATTCTAGGTGTCTTTCAAACTTCATGAGATAAAGTGTATAAAGTCAAGGTAGCCAGCATTAAAATGGGAAGTATAAAACACGAATGCATTGTTTCAAATACATATATTTCTGTCTACAGCCTGTGTTCCTATAGAAAATATATCTTTGGAAGTTGTGTCAAAAAAGTCTGAAAGATACCATTCACAGTTCAGAAGAGGGAACTTCTCCAGACAGACTACTACTTATACAACTCAATTATAGCACACTCTTCAGCTGAGCCACTGGAAGGGGGACAGTCATATCACATCACACAGTACTTGAGGATCATCACCAACATCAGACAAAAACTGACACTTCTACAAGAGGGTAACTGGTGCAAAGTACCAAGTATTTATCTTGACAACTTACTTTAAATGTATTTCTCATATAAATACCTTTTGTCCACCAAGCAGTAATTGAAATATATATATAAAATTTCATTACATATGAAACAATGTACACTTCTCAAGTCCCTCCACTGCCTGAAAGAACTGTCAAAACCCTACTTCCATTACTGAATGTAACAGTGCTAGAAAAATAATTGTCTTCATAAAGACTTCTCCATGCAGTCAATCTTTATTATAGCAGTATTCGCATATTCACATCAAGTACATAGAACTTTTTTTGCCTTTTATATAGTACAGAGTTTTTAAATAACTTTACACAAATAAATTTCAATCTGAATTTCAGCTATCTTTTTTATTTAATTCTCCATGCATTCTATCCAAACTGAACAATATTTTCCATTGTACAAATTTACATGAGAAAAAACTCCAAAGTACAAATGAAAGGACCTGAGCAGGAAAGAGAACTCAAGAAGTATCAAGAAGTGGGGATGGGGAAAAATTGAAAAAAAAAAAAAAAATATTCAAGCAAACATAGAGGATTAAGGGACAAGGAGACATCCATTTGACTGAAAATAAATGTCTTTTTTATGAATTGAAAAATAAGCTTTAAAAATAGTTACTCCTTTGTAATTTTTGCAAAGCAGGTACAGAGAGGTCTGTGGACAATTAAAAACCATCTTTTCACTGGGCACACTCCAGACTCCATGAAAACCTTTTCAATGCTTGAGCAGAACTGAACAAAACCCAAACCTTTGGCAGCAAGAGAGGAGAGGAATGTGAACATGAATCACCATAAGGTTTGGTGTAAACCAGGGCCATTAACTCGCTGCAGTTAAACATGAAGGAGTTCCCTTTCCTCTCTCTTATAGAAGAATTGTCCTCAAAATAAGAATAAGTGAAAAGGTGGGGAGGTGGGATTTCCTTTTTCTTGGTCCAAACCAAAGACCAATCATAACTAATAAATAGAATTCAAAGGGACATATGTTAAACAGTTAATTTCAATCTCATGGTTGTACACTCCTGTTTTAGAAGAAACAGTAATTGCTGAGCAAGGAAAAGGGTTAGAGTGTGTACAACCAATGAACGAGCTACGTCACTGTGATAGTCCTTCAAATCAGGTGATAGGAAGGCCAAGCTGAGACTATGACCTGTGGCATGGCCTAAGGAAACACAGAGGACCCAACAAATGCATTTTCAAATGAAGAAGGGAAAATTTATAGCACACACACACACACACACACCCCTGTAGGTAAACTAACATAACATGAAGATAAATAAGACGTAAAGGTTAGCCATTTATGTTGGTAATTAACATGAATAAAAAGGCATATGTTTATATAGCTGGTTTTAATCAGCTATGGGAACATAGGCAAATGCATTAGGAAGGAATGATTTTTTTAAAAAACCCGTTCACAGCTTAGAATAAAAAGCACACTTATTGCACTCTTACATTTTATTTCAGGTAATTACAGTTTATTTCCCACCCTCACATCAATTTTTCCCTACCCTAGACTTATTCCCATACCTTCCCCCCTCCCATTTTGGTCCATTTTGTCTACATTTGTGCCTAGTCTGTGAGCTGTTGCTTATGCTAGTCTGAGGTTTCTTCCTATGTGACATATACTGTCAAAACACAAGTAGGTTAAAAAGGCTTAACACACAAATGTAACACAGTAATTTTCAAAACAGCCAACTGACTAAGCAACTTGCTCATAACTCCCATCTCCATTCCTGTAAACAGAATACTTCCTCTGCTCTCTTAAGTGAATTTCACGCCCGATTCCCTACGTAGATTCTGCGATGAGAACCAGCCACCTGTGGGTGATGGACAATGTGCTCAGCCTGCCAGAAGAAGCAGATGGTCTGCACATAGCTTTTTTTTTTTTTTCATACCGACATGAATAAACGTATTTTAGTTGTTTTCAATGAATACTTCATAAATCTACAGAAGTCTTAAAAAAGCATCACAAAAAAACCCCAGATATACTCACTGGCTGTGTCCTCATGCACAACTGGCTATATTATATCATTGCAATTAGTCAAAACTGCTAAATAAACATTTTAATGAAACTGACTTATTAATAAAACTACATTGACACTTAGGTAAAGGGGTTCAAAAGGTTAAAAAAAAAAAAAAAAGTATTACAAAAACAACAGCCAAACTTGTGAATGCTGAAATAAAAGATTCACTCAATCACTTTTTTTGAGGTAGAGACTAACCACCCCTAAGCATTTTAAAATAAACCACGGTTACCTTAAGATTTTAGAACTTATGTTTCTATCCTCTTCTACCTTAAAAATACCTGATAGAAACTGCTAATTACCATGACTGGCAAAATTTAGGACTGAAACTCAATTTAAATGTCTTTCCAAATGGAAGTGAAAATTAAGAACAACAAAACAAAGCTTACTCTCTAGTGTACTGATAAAACAAAAATCTTACCAGTATTTTCAATTTACCAGAGCTGGCAACATGGAACATGAGTACATTGGCCACTTTATTCTCCTCGGGCCAATATACAGTCATGCAGAGATGCTATTGCACTCTTCGGGTGCTCAACAACCTATGGGTGTTAGTGACACACCTTGGTGGAAACGTCTAGAGAACTCGCCAAAGCCTTTCTCGAGGGTGGCGAGGAATCAAGATACAAGAAGCACACAGTCCAGTTCACATCTGCCCACCAGGTCGTTAGCTAGTCTGCGGTCCTCTCAGAGAGGAGCCCCTGGAAGCCCCCGCCTGGCCCTCAGAGCATTTCTGAACAGCACAAGCAGGACAGTCCCACTGAATCTGCAAGTCCTGAGCGGCAAGTTTACATTTCAGTCTCTGGAAACTCAGTGTCTAGGTCGGCAGCAGTACTTTGGGAACCAGAAAATCAAATTCTGTCCTGTACCTTAATTTCTCCCTTCTCACTAGTTAATACATACGATTGCTGCCCAGCACACAGTACTTCAGCCCCAAACTACAGCGATTTAAAATGTCCGTCACACATTTCTGTTATATAAAAGTTCCATGCTTTGAAGAACCTATGGGAGTAGAAAAAGTTTCTCTAGAAATGTCACTGAATTGTGATTTCAACCTATTTGCTCTATGTGATAAATATATCTGACTACACTAGGGATTATGTGCTTTAAAAAAATAATTTTGTTCACTGAAAATTTACTTGTGTTTTCTCTCATTTTTTAAATGTGATTTTGGCTATAAACACTTTAGTGCATTTATCTTTGCAGTCTAAATTGCACACTAAAAAATATTAACAACACAGCTGAGTTAGACCAGGGTGGCTGCTCTCTTCACAAATCACTGATTTCTGCTAAAATTTTAGCTTTTTTTTATTGCATCATGAAGGCACAGTAAGATCATTTGGCAAATTGTCAAGGTATTTTTCTAGCGCCTTACCTACACCATTTCAATGTATGACCTGTAACCTATTTGCTGTTTATACTCACAGTAAACTTTCTGTGTCTGGCTATGGTTTGTTTGTTTGGTTTGTTTTGCTTTTTAATAGCCTAATGGTTGGAATCACTAGTTTCAAAGTGCTGATATTCTAGTACTCCCAATGCCGGTTTGGACAAAGAAGAGAATCTTGAGAAATGGGTCATCATTCTACCCTCTTAACTGGGCAGTATCTCAAAAGGAAAATCTGTGCATGTGATGAAGCTGTGGCTAACTCATTATGAAAATGTACTGTCTTGCTAAAAGCCTACCAAAAATTAAGATTATATCTGTTAGTCAAGTGTTACCATTAACTATTTAATTTCATGCAATCGGTTTAAGGTTAAGATTCTGATACGTACCCCTAAAACAGATTCTGGCACCACTTTCAACAACATTCAGACACTCCGAGCTACATTTTTCAGTATTACTGCTTAAATGTATAATGCCCTTTAGGACAAAAGGAGAGTGCTCAAATACAAGTATACATAAAAGTTAAATCTTAGATCATCTTCATGTTCTAGAGCTCCTGACTTTTCATATCTTAAAATAAATAACTATTCATTACCTCATTCTGAGGAGGTAGTTTTTGAAGAGGTCACCTGAACCCTGCAATGTGTTTCAAACTAAAGCTAAATGAGGTGTGCACAGGGCTGGAAAGGTGAATGTACAGGAGGGGCAGGTGAGATCTGAGGAGGGGCTGCAGCAGTTCTAACATTGTCTGATGAGGAAAAGATAACATTGTGTGATAAACAGCCATGACTGCATCAAATGACAATCTAGGAAATATTTACAAAGTTTCAGGTTGACAGTGCTGAAGTCTTGAATTCTTTATTACTACACAATGCTCTTTGCCAACACTGACATAAATTTAACATCTATCCTAAAGCATATGGGATTTTATCTGCTAGCGTGCCCCAGCATGTCCTGCCAGATCTCAAACACAATCAAGGACTGGATGTTAACGAACCAGAATTTGACAGCTAGACAGAATCCTCTTTTAAGGTGCACATAAGTACAAATGATCACATTGTATTTTCTATTCACAAATCCCTTTTATAAATTGCTTTTTGGTCAATATTATTTCAGTGTTAAAAGTTTAGATCCTAGACTAATTTAATGATGAAAAAGTCCATCAGTAATACTACATATTTTAAAATAATCTTCTTATGGTTGCTCTGAGATTTTTCAGAAGGCATAACCTTTCCTTATATACACTACAGAAGGCACTGCAGCCGCCTTACAGGAAAGACATAAGTACAGCCTCACAAGCTTGTCAGGGAAGCAGTCACATCCTATCCACACAAACTACTCATAAAGTGCTCTGCACAACGAAGTGTTCCTCCTTATATTTTTTTTTTTCTCCTTGTATTTTCTTAGGAGCTCAACATGCCTATCTGTAGTCTAAGCATCAAAAAAAAAAAAAAAAAAGGCATACAAAACTCAGGGGAAATTCCTTTTCCATCTCATTTGTAAACTAGAGAAAAAAGAATCTGATGGAGAAAAGAAGAAAAAAGGAAAGCTAAAATTTTGTTATTTTTTGAGGGCACTATACAAATCTCTCAACACCCTGAGCCTGGCTTCTGGGCACAGATTCGTTTGAGATCAAATCTATTTCCCTTTTTCAAATCAGACAGCAATCTATTCTAAAACAGAAAGGGAAGAAGAAAGCGTTATCACCTTGAACTGTGAAAATGCCAGCGCTAAGCTTCCTCCATAACCAGCTCCTCCTGGGCAGTTTCTGCCAGGCTGAGGGAGGGGGCCCTGCCTGAGAGCTCCTGGAAAAGGTAACACGAGCATGTTCATGTTCAAAAGCATCTATGGGGACAAATTTAAAAAGAAAAATAGACACTGCTTTTAAAAGAGAGGCAGTATTATGCACACAGATGCTCTTTAAATCAGCATGAATCCATTTTTACAATTTCTGAAGTTTGTAGGATCTTGCTCTACTCACCAAAGACTTAAGAACTCATTGTTTTTCAAACTCATTAATAACTTGAGGATTATTTTCCACTTTACTGGGACAATCTTTTACAAATCCATGGAATTTTCAGTAGGCCCTCCTCTGAATGTAAGTATTGTAGCAAAAATAATGTAATGGCAGTAAGCTTTACTAGGCTGAAAGACAGCAGGGCAATTTAGTTTGAAAACTTCAAATAATTTCTAATTCCCTGATTTATTTTATAGGTTCTGCCTAATATTGTTCAGGTCCTTTACTACATAGCTTGGCTGGGCTGGGTACATTTGATTTGATTTACATTCCTAAATCTTGATGAGAGAGTCTATATTCATGGTAAGGGAGGTATTGACCAGGAACACATCCAAAGTCTCTTTCTTTGCTACTACTGTGATTTATGCCACACTTTAGTAAAGGCTGAGGGAGGTTATGATTAGGTTATATTCTCCATTTATAAAGATAAAGAAGAAGGTTTTTAAATATTCCACAGCACTTCTTTACTGATGTTATTCTTTACACATCCTCCCTCAGTCCCAATACACCTAAAACTGCTCTATTCTCTGCCTGGGGAACTCAGCTGCCAAATTAACCAACCTTTTGAAGATCAGGCTTGGGAAAAAAGGAAGGAGGAGAATGAATGAAGATACCACCATTTTTATTTCAGGTTGCATATTCTAGATAAAAGACTAAGAAGAAGATGTAGGACGTAGTGTAGGAGTAAGTTGGAAGAAACAATGAGATATTTAGTAAAGATGTTAGTGTGGATCCAGCAAGTACCATTAATTTAAAAATTATAAGTATTTGTCATTAGGCTAAGACTCCCCATATATTTAGGTAGAGAAAAGGGTAATGATCTTTCTTTAAAAGCTGCTTATGTAACAAAAATACAATTTTCCAGGATGTATAATTCTAGTGGGAAGTAATATTATTTTATTCCAATTCAATCTGAAAATTATTTTCTTTTTTAATAAAAATATAATAGAAGAAACTCAGAAATTAAAACTTGTACCTTACATTTAAGTTACATAAATGTCTCACATTCAAAACTGTTATCAAGCAGTTTTGTAGGCTTTTAATTAGATACAGGCATTTTGTGCCCTGGACAAAGTAGCCACTTAAGTACTTGGTGACTGACTGGAAGAGCTTAGGAGGAAGATATCAATTGTATTTTCCTGAGAACTTGCTATAAGGTGGAGAAAAAAAAAAAATTCCCAAACACTTGTCTTCATTGCTGGACCCAATGGGAAAAGAAGGCAATGCGCGCTGCTTCTGGCCGGCCCGCCAGGCAGGGAGCCGCGTGAGCAAGGAAGCCAAGGCCAGAGCCCCAGCAGCCCAGGAAAAAGATGCAGCATTCCCTTTCCTCCACACCCAAACCAACCTCCTCACCTCTCACCCTCCTTTTAAATAAAGTAGCTTCATTTTGGTAAAAATTTGTCAAGGACTGAACATGCACCACACAGGAAGGGCATGCTGCATTTTTGTTCCATCCCTCAGAAATGAACCGGTGGCGGCCAGGGGAAAGGGTTCCACAACACAATCCCAGAACAGGAAAGAGAACGAGGCTTGGTGATCGCGACTGCCCCATCAGACGATCAGCCACATACTGATCTGGTGGTTAGAAGGGCAAAGTTGACTGGCAGACTTCCCAGAGCAAATCTCCCAAGCTGTAGCAGCGGTTTCTTTCCATCATGCCTGACCATCAAAAGGTCAGAACTCAGGGTCTCTCTTTCTTCCTGGGAGTGGGCAGACTTGTATACACGTGGCATTTGTGTTGAAGAAGAAACACTGGCAGCAGAGAGTTCTGGTTCCTAAAACATTCTTCCCTCTCTTGTTGGATGGGAAATTTCCTCTGTTCCACACCAGCTTATGCACTGAAAACTTTTATCTTTAAAAAGAGTTGAGGAACAGAACTGTGTTTTGATGTTAACAAATTGTACGAACACAAGACTTAAGAAATTAAGAGTAGATGCTGTCATGATGGTGTGGCTACTTGAAGGCTGCAAATTCTCCTGTAGAGGGAGAACAAGAGCTAATTTTAAAAAAGTTATCTCAAATAGCCTAGAGACACAGAAAAGCCTCGCTGAAACCTCTCTGAAAGGTGACTAGCTATGTATTACAGATCTAGCAACGACAGGCAAAAATGGTCAAAACCATGACAGAAGCCAACTTACATAATACTACATTAAATCTGCAGATAATCCCCCAGTTGGGTTTTACATGCTATGATTCTAATCAAGCTATAAGCAGTTCAAATGAACAAAACTTCTCAGAAACCAATGGTAAAATAATAAGGTTGATTTGTAGAATACTTTCCCCCCAAATTATCAACTCATTTTCATTATTATAATGCAACTATTAGGAAGGAAGAAGGAATTAATCTCCTTTTGTAAAAGATAAAATTCATAGGTCAAATAATATGTCCACATTACACATTTGACTGAAGGAAAGAAAATTCAGACCTCTCCCATTTGTGGTTCATTTCACCTTTTAAACTATCAAAAAATTACATATAGGCACATGTCAATGAACATCATTCTCAGCATACAAATTTTAAACCGCAAAGACCCTTTGAGGTATTATACTCTTTTAAGCTTACTGAATTTGGGGGCTTCAAGATATTATTTTTCACCAACTATTTTGTCCATACCTTCTACTCGAAACTAGAGATAGGTTCCTCTTATTAATTACACCATAGTTCATTCTGGAAGTTGGCTAGTAACTGACAACTATCACAATTTAGTCAGCCTTAACATCATTTTTCAGTAACAGCAACTTCTGATAAGGATCCAAGCAATCACTTATATGAATACACTATTTAAATGAAGAATAATCTATCTGTTTTTAGATAGTTTTTTTGCTACTGATTTCAACTGGTTACTAGAGAACACTGGCATGTCCCAACAAACAACAGATTGCTAATGACTGGCTGATAGAATCCTCAGATTGTATGCTGCTAATATTAGCGACTATTCTAGTGTCTATTATAGTATACCAGGTGACTCCCTGAATACTTTAAACACATTTGCACTGCATGTGAGCCTCAAAACTACTCTATGAAGTGGGTGCTATTACTTCTTAATTTACTGGGGTTAATTTACTTCTTAAAGCTGGGGTTTAAAGTGGTTAAGTAACTTGTCCAAAATTTCACAGCCAGAAAATGGCAGACCTGGAATGCATAGCCAGGCACTGATTCCAAAGTCCAAGGTCTTAACAATGAACATATTTTCAATAATGAATTTTCAATAATGAATAATCTGTTTTTCCATTCTGAATACTACTACTAATGGGAACTGCAGACAGCATTATTGTCTCTTTCCATTTAAGGATTCCTTTTAACAAACAATTAACCAAGGTATTTATTGTAAGTCAAAAGATCAAGGAAGGGTAAAAGATTTTTTAAAGTTAAAAGAACTGGGGAGTTTGGCACTGACTGGAAAAAAAGCCAAATTACTAAAACCTTGGAAAACAAAACATTTAAAGTAAAACCATAAGAGGCTATTATGTAAACAGGGACTCTAGAAATATATAAACATTCTTATTACCTTTGCTTATGCTTTTAAGGTAGCTATTTTTTCCCCAGAACTATTCTGATACATTTTTTTTTTGATACATTTCTTACAAGTAATTTTCAACAGTCTTATGAGCAGTCACCATATCCAGCAGAATCTAAAACTCCTCAAAGGAAGCCAATGTGAAAACAGGATTTGCTTAACAGAAATCTTTATAAAAAATGGCTAGAATTCATCTATTAAGTAAGAGAATTTCAGAAAGTGATAAACTCTAAGCTCAATTGTATATACCATGTTAAAAATAACTTAAAAAAACAACTTCAGATGTTTCCTACTCATTATTACAATTTGAATAGCACTCTACTTGACAAACTTAAATATTAGCCTTAAAAATAAAATGACACAACCCCCGCAAAGCACAAAATCTTACTAACAAACTTCAAATCAAATAACAATAAAGCAAACTAAAGATCATGCTACCAGAATCTACTGCTTCTAATGGATCAGTTTTTTATTTCATCATTAGACTTTAGGTTGGGGGTGGAGGGTGTGGGGAGGGGATGACAAAAAGAACTCATAGGTTAGGAATTTCTCTGGTGGTCCAGGGGTTAAGATTTCACCTTTCAATGCAGCAGGTGTGAGTGTGGCCCCCGGTTGGGGAGCTAAGATCCCATATGCCTCTTGGCCAAAAAACCAAAACATTAAAAAAACAAAAAGAACTCATAGTTTAGGTATCAATAAAACTCTTTCTACATGTCTTTGAAATCACAGACAATTTAAGAAAAGATAGAGGTAACAGACAATAGATATGATTTTGGGAAAACAAACCTTTTTTCTTGCTTATTCTTTCTTGCATATCAGGAAATCTCTAAATTCCAACTTCTACTCTATTTTATTTGATGTAAGAGCCAAATCTGCTTCTGTGGAGTTATTTAAAATGAAACATCTAGATACTCTATGTAAAAACTCTCAGTATATTAATTTAATTATTAACCAAAAATCAATCAGAGGTCAAAATGAAACTTTTTAAAAACCTCCTTTCTGGTTGAGAATAACCTAAGCTCTATTTTCCATTTGATTTTATTTAGGAAAAGGGCAGAGAACACTTGGGAAGACCCCAAGATTTCAGACACCTCAAATATCAAGTATTTGTTTATTTGAAAGCTAAGGACTTTATTAACTAGTTTTAAGATATTACTAAATGATCACCCTTAATTCCAGAGTTAAATGTATTTCAGTGATTGTTACACATATAATTTGATAAAAATTTCTTAAATATAAAATAGTCTAGGAAAAATCTAATGTTATTTTGTATACAAATATATCCCAGTTTTAGATGTAGAAGGGAGTTATTTGAAACAAGAGTTAAGTCCCATTCGGTCTCTGTGGTGGCCTTTCAGGCAGTTTATAAGAAATGAGGAGCATCCCGGCCCCGACGCACTGAACTTAGAGAGGCCATCGCAGAAAAGGCGCTGCAGAAATGCGCGCTGCTCGTCAAGTGAGACTGTGATTGGCCAAGTGCGTCTGTCATGAAATGTTTTCATAAGACTTTAAAAAAGGATAGATGATTTCCTTACATTTAGACTGATCCACTTGGCCAAAAGGCCAGATAAGCTACTGTGTTAAATAGTTATTACTTTAGAGAGAATGAGTTTAACTACTTGCTTAGGATTTAAACGGCTGGTACAACAATACAGTAATATTTGAAAATAAACAAACCTGAAGTATTTTATTTAAATGCTGTGATCCCTAAATTACTTAAAATCAAGAAGACAAACCTCATTCCTTATCATTGACTAGTGAACTTTTAAAATGTAAAACATTTTATAAAATGGCTGCCTTCTGAAGAAGGAAATCAATCAACTTTAATGAAAATATCCGAAGGTACAGGTTTTAGGAAAGAAGCTGTCAGTCGCAAGAGAGTGAACGTCTGTCCTTCTGTTTCAATTCCTTAGTCAAAAAAATTAACTCTACATATGGTTAGAAGAACCATGTGTTTGAAGAACAAACACATCTAAAACTCAGTATCAAACAAACAGCAACAACAGAAAGGAAAACTACCATGTATCATTCTAATGCTTCATACTTCTCTGGATCCATGTTATTTAAATATTTCACCTGCTACATTTTTAATGTTCTCCCAATAACATTTCCAGTGGGCCCAATTTGGAAAGAAGAGAATTACTATGCAACCCTGTGAAGGCACGTTCAAATGTCAAGGGATGGTATAATGAGTTTTCCGAGCAGTTCTAAGAGTTTAGCAATGCCCTCTGGCAAAGGAGACTGGTAAAGGAAGGAAGGAAAAGAGTCAGAAGCAGAGGTGGAGTGCTGGCTGGGTGGTGTTGGTTAAGAGGGTGAACAAAGACAGGAAGATAAAAGTGAATAAACCATGCTGGGAAATTATAAAAGAGCTCTATCAATAAAAAGATCCTTTGACTCTTGCCCAAACCTTTGAACATTCCACAGACCAAAGTCAATTTTGTAAAAACTTTGCTAGCTACATGCTTGCTGTTCAATTCATGAATAAATAAAACCCAGCTTCATGAATAAATAAAACCCAGACTAATAGTTACTAATAATCGCATCTTTAGTGTCACTGGAAAATTTAGAAATTGTGAATTTTGATGTTTTTGAATAAGTTACATTCTTTTATGATTTTCTTATTCTCATTTTTTAAAACACAAGAAATGTTCTCTTTCACTACTCTTCCTAAACTAAAAGTTATAAATAGATTTTTAAAAGCATGAATGGTACTGTTTATCTTAAGCTACCCAAATGAAGGGCAAAAATTATGTCAAACTTATCAATGAGTGATTTCCCTGGATGAAATCTAACTTACTTAAAGAAATAAAATATTTCAAAATTTTATTGATGGTGTGTGTTATCTGTGGTACTTAAAGACTAAACTATTTATTAGTGTAAAGTCTTCCCAATTTTCTCCTTTATTTTCAAGAACGGCATTTATGGAGATACTGTCTGTGTGCCGCTGAATAACCTTGAACTGTCAGCTATAATGAAAATCATCACAAATCTAAACTGAGTAAATGAAGGTGTATTTAAGAGGATGGCTTTGGTCCCTAGGCTGACTCTGAAGTTGAAACAGCAATGCTGCTTCTTTCACTTTGATTCCCAGTAAAGACTCTTGATTCACAGTAAGAATATACTGACTGCCACATTAGTTATTTTTTTTATACAAGAAAGTGGGAGTCCTAGAAAGCACTAAACATACTAATTACATTGGAGAATCAAAAAAGAAAATAGCATTCATTCATAACAAGTGGACTCCTGTTGGGCAAAGAACATAAGGAGGAAAGATATTTTACAAGACACATGGATAAGGTGATTGCTAACAGGTATCATGAGAGGTGAGTATAATCTAAAGCAATAATAATTTTTAAAAAATCAATTACTTAGTTGTTTAGCAACCACAGTTCTCCAAAAGAAAACAAACCAACCTACAAGTTCTCAGAGAATTCTGCTGTGCTTTTTGGAAGTAAGAGGAGGCAATACTTTTGTCAGCAAATTTGACTTCTATAATGTGTGAAAGTGAAAGTGAAGTCGTGTCCCACTCGTTGCGACCCCGTGGACTGTAGCCCACCAGGCTTCTCCGTCCATGGGATTCTCCAGGCAAGAATACTGGAGTGGGTTGCCAGTTCCTTCTCCAGGGGATCTTCCTGACCCAGGGATGGAACCCAGTTCTCTTGCATTGCAGTCAGACGCTTTAACCTCTGAGCCACCAGGGAAGCCCCTATAATGTGTAAGACATCCTTAATATATAAGGAAATATTAACTAAAAACCAAAGTTAAACTATGTTACTCATGTCAAACATGCCACTTCTCAGTAATATCTTTGGTTACCTACACTGATTATTTATACTGCTGTGAAGGAATGAAGAAAAATTATATTTTCTAAATTATTACAAAAAGATATAGTTATAAGAAAAAATATTAATAAAGATAAGCTTATTCCATTCTAGTGATTCCTAATTAGACCTGGTCAGTTCACCTTCCCTAACACAGCCTAACTCACCATCAGTTTCCCACCTGGCAACATACACACAAAGAGAGTGCTGTTCTTGGAGCCCCAATAGATGCGGGCCAGCCAATAGCAAAAGGTAGGTGAGGAAAGTTTAACTAAAGTTTAATGATTAGACTAACCAAGTAAACAAAACAAACTTGGAATGGGAAGTAAAGCCTCTGGAAAAGGTACTGTAAATTTCCAGCAATGTCTGTGAATTAAAAAAAAAAAAACATTCGATGTTGAAAATCTAACGCTAACCATGGATTTTACACTGGGGAAAAAACTATATCCAGATTTTAAAAACATCCATGTTCTTTTGTTCACCTTTAAAGAAAAAGAAAATCCTATTCAATTTAACAAATATATAAGCAAACATATGTTCACTTTCTTTTGTCCCTACCCTCCTACACGCTGTCACTCACTCAGTTTGTTTCAGTGAACAGGAAACGTACCATATCCCCCTGCCTGAATGGGTGTTTTTGGAGAAGCACAAGCATATAGACTAAAATCCTCTGTTTGGAAGCCAGCCCGATTTAAGGAGGGTTCTGATGCACTGCGGTGAATTTTTGGCAATGAGCGGGCCAGAAGCTCAATAGAGGCGAGAATCTAAAAAAAGAAAAAAAAAGGAAAGAAAGAATGAAAATGTAGATGGTGTTAATCTTTAAGAGCCCCATTATACTTTATAAGAAAGTGTATAAAATCTTACACTGTTTTTACTGTAATCCCAAATGCCTGGAACATACTAAAGAAACATACTTTTCCTTTAAAAGAAGAGAAAATTACCTAACTATTACATCTTTTAATCTCTATAAACTGAATGAGAAAAGAAACCTGTAGTTAGTTTTATTTACATCTTATAATTTTAGATCATTTGCCAGCCTTGGAATAGTAAACAACAAAAAATTTAAAATCAATTATATACCTATTTCTCACAGACCACAAGTCCCTTTTGGGAAGAAGATGGAGCATAAATAATTAAAGCACTATATGACTTCATAAACAGAACCATTAGAGCAACTCATTCTTTAAAGAGATTTAGTAATGGGAAATATCTTTCACACATATAATTAAAGATAGGGCCCCAATGACCCTAGTGCCACAGGAGTGAGAAGTGACAGATGATGACCCATGAATAAAAAAAAGACAAGAAAACTCTACAAATAGACACCAATAAACAAAATGCAGAAATTCAGCACATTTTTAAGGTACAAAGAAACAGGTTATGACACCTGAAGGCATACAGCATGATAACACATGAAACATACATATAAAGAGCTTGGCACAATGCCTGGCATATAGAAAGTACTCAATAAAACTTCAGCAGCCACTATTATTACTACTATAATTATATACTATACAGTAGTATTATACACATTATATACTACATTATTATTATTTTTCTGAGCTACCAAAAGTTTTTTTTAAAGTTAAATGAAATCTGTATAATGATTAGTATAAGAAGGCAAAGAAGTAAGCATTGTTACAAAAATTTTAAAACTATAACACACAAATACAAATTCAAATAATACAGAAAAGTATAAATCGTACCTTCCAGGGGTAACCACTGTTAAAGAGTCTATACTTTCTTCTGGACCTTTCCTATGCATAAACATGCACATATGAAAACAGAGCCCAGCCCCACCCTCACCACCATTTAAAATGGTATCACACTACACATTTTCCGGCATTATTTCTTTTCCCCTCACTGATATCCAAGCCACCTACAGAGACACCTTGATCTTTATGTCTTTAATTTTTCCTATTACAGTTAACAATCTAGTATCTATCTGGATACTTGGAAGCAGATTCTGTAGCATAGAGTAGATTTCTGGGAGTGGAATTACCAGAGCAAAAGGTGTATGTATTTTAAGTTTATGGAGTCTACCAAATCCTTTCAAAAGGTCAAACCACTTTACATCCCTACCAAAAAAATTTAAAAGAAAAGCTCTTCCTTACTTCCCAACATTGTTCCCAATGCTGAATATATTGTTAATCTGAGAGACAAAAATAAAAATGCATTTCACAGTTGTGACTCTGTATTTTACTGATTATCACTGAATTCTTAACATCTAGTGCCAAGTTCATTCACCATTTGCATTTCTTTTGTGAATCACTAGTGCATATTTTTTGTTCACTTTCTGATTACCTTTACTTATGGATCTGTCTAACACAATCACTCTTTATTATACATGCTACAATTTTTTTCCTCAGCATTTATCTTTCAATATTGTTTTTACTATACAGAGATGTAAAATGTTTAATGTCATATCTGCTAATCTCTTCCCTGATAACTTCTGAATTTTGTCTCCTGCTTAGGAAGCCTTTCCTACCTTAAGGTTATAAAAATATTTGTTATAGTTTTGTTTTTTACATGTAAACCTTTAGCCATCTGAAATTTGTGTGGTATGGTGGGAAGAGAGATCTTACAATGAAAATGTGAAAAAAGTACTTAAAGTGGCAATGTTTAATAATCTGGAATATTCATATATGGACTTCATTTTCTAATACCATGAAAAGAGTAAAATATTATTATGTTTAGAAATATGACCATTTTGTCCCTTTTAATACCATCTGAAAAGTGAGCCTAAGGATATAATCTGTATTATTAATGCACATCAACCGCATGAAGCAGGGAGCCTTGCACCTGGGATGTGAAACGAGAACATGGTGCAGAGTCCTGTTGACGCTGGCCAACAATACTGGTCATTCACTTCAACAGTCGTAAGCGAGTGGTTTCCTAGGTTTAAAAAGCCAAACTCTTCCTCAAAGCAATAGCAATGTAGAAGTCCAATTTGTAAAACAAATCTACCCACCCAGCCCTTCAGCCTTCCCTCCCTGCTCTGGGTCAAGAGAGACTGGTTAAAAGCATAAATTCTATCTTTAATTATTTAGTTGGAAATAAAAGACTCACACAATCCTGTAACACTGACTTCCAAGAAACTTAGCTAGGACTGGGTACTCAAAGGTGTTAAGATTCACAAAAGACCAAGTCAGTAATTCTGGTAGCTGAGTTATGGAAATCAGCACGTCCCATGTGAAATTCGGACTGACTCGATGAAACATTTATACAGCGTATGATGAATTTCTGAGGTATTATAAAACACTGAATTTTTATGACTGTACCTACTACAGCTAAACTTCCTAAGCTTGTTCAGGTACTTAGTTCCAGTTCATGAGGCTTATGAAAAAGTATTAACTTAAGGCTGTTAGCCCTCCAACTTGAAAAGAATCTGTGGAAAGTTTCCAAGAGTTAGAGAACGGAAGACAACACCAAGAGCTGCCTTCTCTTTTTGCCCCAGGTAAAAATGCCTCTTCAGATAACCTAATATTAGAGGGATGCTTGCCACCTATTTATTTTATTGTCAAGAAGAATAAAAGTAGCAGTACACAAAGTGTGGTCTGTAGAAAACTATTAATGCACTAACACTAAGATATTATTTGCCTTTTTTACTGTCATTCCTTTATAAGTGGAGTTTTTAGAGGCTATATAATGTAAGATATTACAACATAATAAATGCAAAGCAGAGAATCCAGCTGCCTTCTTTTTGCAGCAATTTTCGAGAAAGTGTAAAACAAATGTCACTTTTCTCTAATTTTTTTTTGCTTGGAAAAATACATTTTTTCATAAAACATTATTTAACGTAATGGTTTTACTATGTTTAAGTAAATTTATAAATAAATATTTAAAACCTTAGTTTTAATTTCTAAAATGGGAATTACTACCTACAAAAACAAAAGGTCTTTGGGGGTCTTCAATAATTTTTAAGTGTAGAAAATGGTTCTGAGACCAAAACGTTTGAGAATTGCTAGACAAAAGCAAAAGCTTTCTGAATATTTTGTATTGGGATCCTAAGTTACTAGGTTTAACCTTCATTCAATCTCCTTTAATAATAATATGTTTACTTATATGAGTCTTCACATAATCACAAGGAATCCAAATCTGTGAAATACAAACTGTGTGCTCTAAAAAAGTGCCTAAAAATATGCATTACAATTATCAGTCTGTCCTTTTAGGTAACATAAAGCTTTTCCTTACTTGGGGAAAGAGTGGTCTTTCATCTCTTTTCTTTTTTAGGCACTCTGCCATTAATCTCTTCATGGCTTTTGGACAGTTACTCCGTACCTTACTGAGATCTGGAGACAGATATCCTCGTCCCACCATAAAAATTATCTGGGGAGGGAAAAAAAAAAGGCAAATCATATAATCTTGTAAATACGTGAAAACACTGAAAATTCAACAAGTTGTACACGTAAGACATGGACTTTTCTGTATGTACATTACACTTAAATAAAAAAGTAAAAAGCACAATGCCACTAGTATTCAGAGTCTTATATATCATAGACTACGGGGAATCAATACGTAATGTGCTGCAAGCTGAACTCTTCATGATCCCGTGAGTACTGCAAAGGTCTCCTAACTGCTTCCCAAACTTTCAGTCTTTCCTTATCCAGTCCATTTTCCCACTGATTGGGTAATCACTCTGAAACACAGATCAGATCTACCTCTTCCATTCAACCAAGAATTAACCTTTGGTTAACCAAAGTTAATCCATTAAGCAGTTGTTCTGGCATCTGAACTTTGAACTCTCTTTGTTGAGGAAACTCTAATGGGGCATTGAGTTACATTAAGTCTGAGAATCAGTCTCCTCCAGAGAGAACAAGGTGAACAGGGAACTAAAATCTTCTGTTTAACAAGAAAAAAGGTTTACCTTCCCTGCGTGCAGGCAGAGATTTGCAATTTTTCTGATTTCTTTCTTTTCTAATTTTCTTACTTGTGGTTCTTTTGAAAGTGGGCAAAGACAGATGTAAGCAGTCTTAAGTCTCAGGGAGGAGAGAGGGATTTTGACCTTAGAGGGAATAGGTTCAACGGGTAGCCTGGATGCTAAGACCCTGATGCTGGGAAAGACTGAGGGCAAAACGAGAGGAGGACAGCAGAGGAGATGGTTAGATAGTATGACAAGACTCAATGGACAAGTCTGAGCAAACTCTGGGCGACGCTGAAGGACAGGGGGGCCTGGAGCGCTATGGTCCATGGGGACCTGACTGAGCTACTGAACAACAGAGCCTAAGGTGGAAAGGGGCAGTCAGAGATCCTTGGTTACAGGGCAGAATTGATGAATTTTAGAAACAGTCAAGTCTGATATCCTACTTTATGTTATTTCTGGTTTGGTGCCGTACTAACCCTTATTTAACTACACGGTGATTTGCCCGAGCACCACCAAAGTGAAGTCAGTTTAATTTCGCTTACCTCCTTTCCCATCTCCTCCGTTTTAACTGCTCTTCTCCCACTTCATAACAGGTATACCTTTTACCCATATGCAAGTTAAATATATTGCATATCACAATGTATTGCATATATGACACTGCATTGTGTGATATATTGCAATCACAATATATTGCATATATCACACCGTGCCAAGGTGTAAAACTGCTCAGGGTACCAAAGGGACACTTTTAAATACTGCTGTCTAACTAGACTCTAATGAATGGGTAGCAAATCCCTTTGTAAGACAATTGGTTTCCAATTCTTTGCTTTCAGCAAAATCAACTGAATTGCCAGCTAATTATTAAAATAATTTTAATGACAAGTTATTAAATAATTTTTGGTATGCAATAGAAAGTGTGATGATTTACAGTGTTGTGTCAGATTCTAGTTTACAGCAAAGTGATTCAGTTATATATATTCTTTTTCAGATTCTTTTCCATTATAGGTCATAAGATATTCCCTATGTTACACAGTAAGTCCTCATTGTTTACTAGGATTTTATTTTTAACTTAAGCACTTTAAAGTTCTTGAATGTTTCAGCCACAGGAGATATTATGTAGTTTCATTGTTTGATCATTTATGTTTAAGAAACATTCTGTCAGTTCCAAAGGCATCTTTCAGCTTTCAATCTGTTGAACAGCTCTCAGTTACATTTGTTTTATAGAGTTCCTTCTTACTGTTCAAAGAGCAAATTTTTTCCTTGTGAGAGTTCACAAAATCCTCAGTTATGGCCATGTGCTTCTGATCCGTGGCTTTGTCTCTTTTCCTTGCACAAACTTTTAAAAAAGTAAATTTATTTTAATTGGAGGCTAATTACTTTATAATGTTGTGGTGGGTTTTGCCATACATTGACATGAATCAGCCACGGGTGTACATGTGTACCCCCATCCTGAACCCCCTCTCACCTCCCTCCTTGCCCCATCCCTTTGGGTTGTCCCAGTGCACCGGCTTTGAGTGCCGTGATCCATGAATCGAACTTGCATTGGTCATCTATTTTACATATGGTAATACACATTTCAATGCTCTTCTCTCAAATCATCCCACCCTTGCCTTCTCCAACAGAGTCTAAAAGTCTGTTCTTTATATTTGTGTCTCTTTTGCTGTCTTGCATATAGGGTTGTCATTACCATCTTTCTAAATTCCATATATATGTGTTGATATACTGTATTGCTGTTTCTCTTTCTGACTTACTTCACTTTGTATACTAGGCTCCAGTTTCATTCACCTCATGAGAATTGACTCAAATGAAATCTTTTTAACAGCTGAGTAATATTCCATGGTGTATATGTATCCCAAGTTCGTTATCCATTTGTCTGCCAATGGACATCTAGATGGCTTCCATGTCCTGGCTATTGTAAACAGTGCTGTGATGAACATTGGGGTACATGTGTCTCTTTCAATTCTGGTTTCCTCGGTGTGCATGACCAGCAGTGGGATTGCTAGGTTGTACGGTAGTTCTATTTCCATTCTTTTAAGGAATCACCATTCTGTTCTCCAGAGTGACTGTAGTAGTTTGCATTCCCACCAACAGTGTTTTTCTCCACACCCTCTCCAGCATTTATTGGTTGTAGGCTTTTTGACAGCGGCCATTCTGACTGGCGTGAGATGGTACCTCATTGTGGTTTTGATTTGCATTTCTCTGATAATGAGTGATGCTGAGCATCTTTCATGGCTTTGTCTTAACTGACATTAATTAAATTCTGTTTTTTTAATAAAGCAAGAAGAAATTCAATAGAAGAAATAAGTAGGTCAAGCAATATAATCTGTGTGAAAGTTGACAAGTCTTGTTATTTTGGGGACCTGTGAAATAGTTTAAGATGGTTTTATGTGATCAACTAGTAGAATAGATACATATTTTCTTATGCTTTCTTTCGAAAATTAAATTCAACTTTTAGAGTATTCTAGTGAAGTATAATTGGTTTTATAAAGATACAAAATTCAATTTTAATGACTCTTCTCCAAATAACTTGCTATTACTTTTAGTTTAATAAAACTATAGTATTTCTATGCATATATTTATATATTTTAAAGAAGGAAATGGCAATCCACTCCAGTGTTCCTGCCTGGGGAAATCCCATGGACAGAGAAGCCTGGCACACTATAGTCCATGGGGCTGCAAGAATTGGACAAGACTTAGCAACTAAACCACCACCATAGAAAGAGTTCAAATAACCAGTGACAGAGTTATGGTAAAGAATTAATCTTGCCCACAGGGAGGGTTGGCTTTTGCCTTTGGCTCCTAGAAGACTCTGGTTCAGTCCCTGGGGTGGGAAGATCCCCTGGAAGAGGAGTGAATTAGCGACTAAGCACCAGCACTACCTGGAAGGTAATCTCTGAGCCCTGGAATGTCCTGCCCGATAAGAGTTCCTTTGTCTACCTGGGAGTCTAAGATCATGTCAGACAGTCTTATTCTATCAATGTGATTTACTGAGAGGGTTTTAAGTTATATGGTATCAGTTTGATCTCTGCATGGGCTAAAAACTAAGGTGGCCAACTGTATCTATGTGACTGAGGCCTGAGAATAACTCTGGCCTCCAAGACTTCAGTGAGTTTCCCTGACTGGCAATACTTCCTGCATGCTGTCACATGTGGCTGCCAGGAGAACTTAGGACTGGCCATAACTGCACTGAAAGAGGACAACTGGAAGCTCCATATGCGACACTCTCCTGGATTCTGCCCTATGTGCCTCTTCCTGTGGCTCACTTTAACCTGTATCCTTTTGTTTTAATAAACCATCATGTGAGTATTAACAACTTCCAGTGAGTTCTGTAAAACTTAAAGAGTTACTGAACCTGAGGGAGGTCTGCTGAACTCTGCATACAGTTGTAACAAAACTTCTGACTTTCCCATACTCTTATTAATATTTATTTGAACAATATTTCTCAGCACTTCTTTAAAAATAAAACTAGAAAAAGGACTGATGCTAAGTCCCAGCTTATTCTAGCAAAAGTCTTATTTTTCACAAATATATGGATGAAGAGAAGACAAAAGCCCCATGTTGTTCATTAAATTACACATTTCCAATAAAATTTTACCTGCTTCTATATATCAAAACCTGTATGTTATTTTCATCAGATATATATTAATAATTGTTAATAGATAATTTGGAATTTAAAAAGTTAACAGAGCCTAAGGTCACTGGCAACTTAAAAAAAAAAAATCTTAAATTAAAATCCCTATTTTTTGTTGCAGAGATGTAATTTGAGTGATCAATAAGAAGTTTCAAAGCATAAAAATATGTTACATTAGGGGAAAAAAATTCATTGGAGAAAGAAAAATACAGATATTCAACAGTTTAAAAGCAAAAAAAGAGCCATGTAAAACTTGCAGAAATTTCTATAATATTCATTCATACATGTTTTGTATGTATATATATACATATATATACATATTTTGGCTGCACTGTGCAGATCTTAGTTCCCCAACCAGGGATAGAACCTGTGTCCCCTGCAATGGGAGCACAGAGTTTTAACCACTGGATGGCCATGGAAGTTCTGAAACTTCCAAAAATTAATGAAGAGGTTTTATATTTTTTAAACAAGTAATGATGGTAAGTATCAAAATAAAGTATGAGTTAGATTTTAAGTGGTACATTTAGAAGTGATATAATCGCTTTTTTTGGAAATGTCAATATAATACACTGAAAATTACATTCTTTGCAATGATTTAAACTTAAGGGAAGGTCTTTGCCGGATGTAATTCATGGATAGGAAATTAAACTGGCACTTACACTACAAAATTAACAGCTTGGTTTGCAATTCTGGGACTGGTTACTTTCATCCTCAATCTACACATCTACACTTGCACTCCTGGTATCCCTGTCCTCCCTTCACTCCTGTTTTCTTGGAGCACGCATCTGCTCATCCTCAACATCACCTCCTGCACTGCCTCAACAGAACTGTGAACTCCCCTGAGAGCACAATCTATGTTTTACTCATCTTTGTATTGCTCTAAATCCCATACAGTAGGCATCACAAATTTTTTTTATTAAAATAAACTAGTTTGCATGTTGGTAATTTATTGGCTTCCCTGGAGACTCAGTGGTAAAGAATCTACTTGCCAATTCAGGAGACTTAGGTTCGATCTCTGGGTCGTGAAGATCCCCTGGAGAAGGAGATGGCAACCGACTGCAGTATCCTTGCCTGGGAAATCCCATGGACAGAGGAGACTGTCCATGGGGTCACAAAGGAGTTGGACCTGACTTAGCAACTAAACAACAACAGCAAGAAAATACTTGTTATCATTCCCTGGTACTTGTCATTTCCTGTCTCCTTTAGATCTTGCGGCTTAGAACCCAGCCACCATACTGTGATAAAGTCCAAGGTTCCTGTGAAAAGTCCTCACAGAAAGACCCATGTTGAGAAGAACTGAGGCCCCTGGGCCTTGGCCATGACTAAGCTTCCGGCTGACAGCTAACTGGTTAACTGGTCACACCTTCTCAGGTATGCAAATGAGCCATTTTGGAAGTAGATCCTTTATCAGCCAGTGAACCGACCACAGCCAATAACATGTGAAATAGAGAGAAACCTTCCACACTGAGAGAAGCCCACATTGCAGATTGATAGTTTAAGTCACTACATTTCAGGTGGTTGGTTATACAGCAGTAACTGGAATTCATGTGAAATATAAGCATTATCTGTTATTTTCTTCTAAGATGACACAGCACTTCTGCTCCAAGAGAAAAAAAAGTCACTATACCTAGCTTAACTGAGCACGTTATTAGTCCCAATTTAGTATCGAAGCCGCACTGCAAGAGGTAAGAATAGGGTGACTAGACAGCAAAACAGAATGATAAAGAGAGGGGAAAGGACAAAGCAATTTCTCAGACTTTTGGCACTCGTGTAAGTGAAATAAAAGGCATGCTACTTGGCAAAGTCATATAGGGATGGTCATTCCTCCAGGAGTTGAGAGGCCTGTTTAGGAAAGAATCTGATCTTTGTTAACTTTAAGGAATTCTTTAGTTCAATCTCTTATTTTTAATAACTGAAAAAAAAAAGATACCTAGAGAGGTACAGTAGCCAAGTCATGCAGATTGTGAGTCCAACATCTGCCATCACATCAGGCTGTTTGACCAGTCCTATCCTGAATTTACAGGCAAAACCTGCCACCTCAGACTACAGAGGGGTGAGAATATGGGGGGATGGGCCTACATTACACAGTAAAGAAGCAGCTGTACCATCTCCCATGGAAAAAATAAAGAATATTCCTAGATTTTCAAACAGAAGTCCAATCTGAGAGCCATGGAGATTACTGAGAGCCATGGAGATTAAAGTATGAGAAAGACAGAAAGAAAAATCAAATCAAGGAGATGGATGGAACACTACCTGGGGTTACTTCACTGAGGATGACTAGAGTTTCTGATTCAAAAGAGGGAGTTTCATGAAAAGCGCCACTTACAGCAGACAAGAAAGTAATGACGTAGAATGGGGATGGTGGGAAGAGTACACAATTCTTTCATATCCTTTTTCTTTATCAAACACTTGGTTTCAGACTGGCAAATTCCAGAAGGCTCTAACTATACTACCAGAAAGAATTAACTAGTAAAGGCCTTACCCTTCTGTTGGTCACTCACTTCTCTCATGGGAAGTAAGCCTTGCACAGCATTTATTACACTCCCATGGAGGACAAAGCACCTAAAATGCCAAGAAGTGGATGAGTGCAGAACTCTGGGATGCTTTTTCCATATTTTGGAGACACTACTACTTATTTCCATAATATAACTTTATTCTTTTATTAAAACAAACTTATTCACTGACAAACGGATTTCATTCAGATCTTAGGTTTGTAATTTTTTATTGTTTTTTATCTCTATGATAAATCAACTAAAACTAAACTAAAATTCCCTCATGATTCGTCTAGAAGAACAGTATGGCTAGGAAAACTGAACATGGCACAGGGTATTATGCTGGATGGTTGAGTTAATAAGACTGTAACAGGCAGACCACATGAAGCTGGTAAATTAGAGGCAATCGTGCTCCTCAGAATGCCACCACTGAATCAATCATCTCAGTGATCTAGGATCTGTCACAAGGACAGTAAGTACACTGTTTCAATTATGTTCTTTAGCTTCTATTTCAGCCCACTCTGAATCTAAATTTCATGGAGGCTTAAAAGAATCAGATCATCAGAAGCCAGGTCATAGATTTCTCTTTAACACTTAAAGCTATAATTCAACATTTTAAAGCTATGAAGCAGTTAGAAAGACCAAACAACAAATAAAAAAATTTAGTTTTAGACTGACTTAGGTGGAAATGTAGCCATTTAAAAAATCCTCAAGATAGAGAATCAAGGCCATTGTTGAGTTAGGGTCATACGGTGATTCAATAAGTACACACAAGCATATGACAACTTAGATTACTTCTCTGTTATTACATGATAGTTAAAAATTCTTAGGGAGAAAGCTACCCAATATCTTTAGAAAGCTTCAGTTATTACCAAAAAGATTAACAGTTGAACTGCTAACCAAAAAATTACTAAAGGAAGCATTATACTTTAAAAACTAGCATTTCATTAGGTTGGGAGGTTATGATCAAGCACATACAACATTCATGCTTTTTTAAAGACTCTTTACACTGGTGATTCTCCATGTGTGTTAGAAACGCCCAGTAAACCCATTAAAATGCTGATGCCTGGACCCCACCCCACTGAATCAGCATCTGCTCCAGCATCTTCATTTTTAAAACAAATTATCCGGGTGATTCACATGCAAGTCACAGTATAATGTATAAATACTATTTTAATCCCAGTTTATATGGTCAACTATTGTTTTCTAATATATTAACAGTAAAACTGCTGCAATCTCTCTCCATATACACTGCCCCCCCCCCACCCCACACACACTCTTTTAAAATGTTAAGGTGTATAAGGTAATTTCAGTAAAGACAATTCATTTTTCTTGGCCAGTGTTAAAAGCCTAGGTGAATTTAACATGGCTGGGATCAAAATGACAAAGAGCTGCACGAGGCTATGCTGACACTTTGGAAGACAAGAGAGAGGAGGAGCTTAGGAAGAGAGAAGTAAAAAATTCCCTCCTACTTGAATTCGTATCACAGAAAAATGAAAGCATGATATAACAGTCCTTTCATTTATCTAGCTTTAAAAATCTAAAAAGTAGGGAGAAAGCTTAGTAATTTTGAAAGGATTTGGTATCAAGAAGTTCACAGCTGAGTACCTGCTCAGACCTGACTGCACAATCTGTGACAGAGTAAAAGTCCTAAGCCCAGATGCTACAGTACTGTGCCACGGTCACAAGGCAGGACCCAGATCCAGCACTGTGTCTCTAGTTCCTAGTCAGGAGAGCAAGCGGTTCACTCCACTACAACACTGAAGTAAAGTATTTCAAGGAAAGGTCTTACATGCTGCTATTACTGTCAAAAGTACTGAACAAAAGGTTCTAAACCTGGAACCAAGATCAAGAGTTCTATACTTCATGCCTACCCGAGATCCAAGACTTCTTTGCTACAATGAATTGGAGCCTCTCGACAAATAGTAAAATTAACCCCAAGAAATGGGTGAATATTTACCTGGTCCCTGTTGTTGATATTTGAATAAGGTAACTGTCCAGTCATCAATTCATACAGAACAATCCCAAATGCATATACATCTGACTGAAAGCTATATGGGTTTTTATCTTGCATTCTGATTACTTCTGGTGCCTGGTAGAACATAAAAAGAAAAATATTGTTGCTTATAATTCACATCAACCAAATAAAGACTGAAAACCAAACTATTATAATTCTCAGAACAATGTTTTTATCATTAAATAATCTATGTAAAATATGTAATTGATTCTCTTATTTATGGCCAAAGAAAGAAAACTGATCAAAGATAAACAAAAAATAAATGCTCTGTAAACTCTGAGAGAAGCAGTACTGAGATTCCATATACATTATTAAGATTTAAAAAATTTTAACAGCTGCCGTCTTTCTACACAAAATACCATTACTGCCATTTGAATTTTTCCCATTACTTTTCCTATTAAGAGTGAGTTCCCACTTTCCATTACTGACTCAGGAAAGAAACCCTAGACCTGTCATTATGAGATATTTGAAAGCAGCATAACCACTACGGTAATCGCCTGAGAATTTCAGTTTTTCCCATTGGTACAAGTGATTCTCCTTATCTCAGCATACGTTAGAAAATCATGGTAAAATTTCAAGACTGATACATTCCAACGCCTTTCCTGTCTCCAAAAGCAGTAGAATTATGCCATGGATGCTTTATTAACAAAACCAACAGAAAGTAGGTAGATTTAGTAGAAAATGGTATAAAGATTCTTTTGGCTGCTGCTTCTTGGGCAAAGATACAGATCTAATCATATTTGCTATATTTTTACACATTTCAATTACTATAGTCTACAACTAGATTCATTATTAGCCATTTACATGTAATACAATAAATGGCTGATTAACTATTAGCTTTAAAGAGTTCCTTCACCTTGCATCTTCTGTACTGTTTCATTGGGAAGAAATTAGAGAAATTGCAGGGTAACAAGACTTGGTGAAAACATGAGTCTGATACAAAACCAAGATGAGCTGCAAAAATGGCCCAAAGACCTGGAACAAGATTCCCAGTTAGTGGTCAGGGTAAGGCAGGGCAGACTATCTTACAAGGAGTAACAGCACTCCTCAGTCTTACCTGCAAAACAGAATCACCTGTGCAGCCTTTCAACTCTCTACATCTAGAGTACATACTAGCTCAGTAATACACCATCAGAGTCTAGGGATGGTATCAGTTTCAACTGCTAGTTTTTATAGCTCCCCAGATGACTTTAATGTCCACCAAGGCTGAAAACCACTGAGGAAAGATGTATGGGAGATCCAGATGCGAGTAAAGGATGGGGAGGGGTGAGGGTGCTGTGAGGGGTCCATCCACTTGGTTTTGTCATGTATTTTCTTGATAACCGTTCTTGGTAGTACAGTGCAAAATAAACCCCATACAACTGTGAAGCAATCAACAAGCCAGATTATTAAGAGGCTGGTTATGATACAGACATAATTTTCAAAGCCAGGATGCAATTTCTGTGAGGAACAGTTGAAGAACTGCCTTCTTGAAATTTAGCTTTACTTCACTACTGTTGGTAGATGGTTTGATGAAAAGTCATATGTGATCTATTTATAAGAAATGCATGATTTATCCTCAATTAACTTAGTAACATGAAAATTTTCACAAAAGGTTTTATTATTTAAGATATAAATAAAGCAAGATTGAGACTACCACTGTAAATAATTCAGGGACTTACCTAACCTTTGGTTCTGACCAAGCTCTTCTCTCCTAGTCTATGGATGTTTCTGTTTATGAAGGCAGAATCAACTCAAAAGGATTTTACTCAACATTTAAGTGTACTACTGACTAATCTCTTGTCTTAAAACTCAGCTTGGTGGAATAATGGATGAACCCATCTGCCCAGGTATCAACAAAAAAGAAATTAAAAGAAAATATAAAACAATGTATAATAGTCCATAAACTGTATAATCTAAGGTTTTTGGAAAAGGACAAACCTGAAGACTTGACTGAGCCTAACTTTCCCACACTAGTTAAAATAAACACACCTTTAAAACATGTATCAACTGTTTCTTTATAATTGTAGATTTTGCAATTTCACCCCCTCCCAGGATAACCTGTTATCTTTGTTACAAGGTGTATGCCTTAAAGGTGTCTGAGATCCAGATTACAATGATTAATTAGCTTGTTTTTAATTATTTATTAAAACAAACATGTATTAAAGAAAAATATAGCTAGCTCTAGTTAGTAGATCCCAGAAAAGGCATTCAAAATCCATTAGTTCAACCCAGTGTTAAAGATGGAACGACTTGGAGGAGGTCAAGAAACAGGCAGGTTTAGAGTCAAAAGTACGAGAGTACAGACCTCTGGACTCCAAGTCCAATGCCAACCCCGTTCCACCTTGCCACTCACTCTAATGCCAGTTATTATAAGAAATCATAGCCAAATTTAACCCCAGGCTTATCGTGACTAATTCAGAATCCTCTTCTTAGAACTGCTACAGATAAGTTCAGGGAATTCAGGCAAATGCGTGAAAGCCCTTGCAGTTTTGCTATTTCCAGCAGGTGTCCCAAAGTTTTACTGCAGGTTCAGTTATTCAAAACGTAAAACTGCACTAATCGTTTTGGAACATCCTGTATTCAACTTGGAGCACAGGTTCTCAAACTTTTTGGTCTAAGAATTTTTTCAGTCTTAAAAATTATGGAGGACCCCAAGAAGCGTTTGTTTATGTGGATTATACCTGAGGATATTGATCATATTAAAACTTAACTGAGGAACTGTTAAAACATTTATTAAATTATAAAACAACCATTAGCTGTGAAGACAGATTACCCCCCTTAAAAAAAAAAAAAACAAAAAACTAGATTTTCAAAAACAAAGCTTACTGAGAAGAAGAATACCGCCATTTTCCCCCTTGCCACGCCACAAGGCATGCAGGATCTTGGTTCCCCACCAGGGACTGAACCTGTGACCCCTGGCGTAGAAGCATGGAGCCTTAATCACTGGACTGCCAGGGAAGTTAAGTCCCTGTAGTTCTTTTTGACTGGTTTAACAGCAGCCAGCTACGGTCACATATTTACTTATGCATTCAATCTGTTGTGGGATGTGTTCAACAGTATGAAGAAAAAGCTAGTCTCACACAGGACGATCTTGGGAAACCTTAAAGGGTCTTAAGGACCCCCCTGAGAAGAGCTGGCTTAAGAAAAGCCCTATGACCGCCCTTTTCACAGCATGCTGAAAGGAACTGAACAAAAGTTTTAGTTCCCTCTTCTTATAATTTCTCTTTCTTCTTTTCCACAAAGCAGAAATAGGAATAAAGAAAGAACAAGAAGGAACTATGCAGGGCACACAAGGCTGACAGTGTTAAAAATCTACCTTTCATTTTTCTTTTTCTTTTCCCAGCTGCCCATAATTACACCGTTCTTTCTAGTCTAAAGTAACTTTCCAATTTAGGCTTAAATAAGATTGTGAAACAGTCTCTTATTCTTAAAAAGAGTAGCTCTTTTATTGAAACCTTAATAATGGCTACAGATCACACCTACTTTTAAATTACATACTTGTTTTTTTTGAAACAGCATACATAGAACATCCTAAACACAAAATATTTTAGAGAGACAATTCTATATAAAACTTAAGCAGTGCTTATAAAAGATACATTCTTTTGTTTAAGATATACTGAAGCTGGTTCCATCATATTCTATCTAAAGATAAAATTAAAGTCTATTTATAACAAAATAAGATCAACATTGGCTTTTGTGAATACTGAGAACTATGAGAACACTATAGTTGAAATCTTCAATGACTTTCTAATAACAGCATCTCAGGGGCCAAAAATTTAATTAATGGAGAAAGAGCCTCAATTCTTACCATCCACAAAATGGATCCAGACAACTGTTCAAACTGATGGGACCCACTCCATCGAGATTTCACTGTGGCTAGACCAAAATCACCTATTTTTACTGTGAGGTCTTCATGAAGAAAAATATCTGAGGTGTAGTAAGTAAAGGAAAACAACAGGTCTCATTTTCCTATCAAAGCAAGCATTATGAAGATTTTAGGTATGCAATATAATTTCCACAATTCTTTACTATGATATTCTTTAAAAAGAAGTATAGTACTTCGCATTTTCTTTTAAAGTTAATAAGTATGCTTTAAAAATAGTGTTATTTGAACTGTATGACCTGCTTTTAGGATTTTTGGTGCTTGAAACGTGGTAAGATGAGGTACGCTGTTTTCCTAAGTTTGTGGGAGACCTTGAGACTTCCCCATTGGATTTTAGTAGAAGAGGCCCAAATCTCCTTCTGGCACTGCTAGAAAGGCTATAAAGCTCAACACTGGCATTGAGGCACTTGGCAGATCAGATCTGAATCTGGGCTTATGGAGGAAGAAGAAACGTTATGTATTCCTCACCTCACTGTTATATAATGTAGAGCCATCAAATACATCTCAACGACCACTGAACAAAGTCAGGGCACTGAAAGAAGCTAGTAGATAGCTACAGAACTAGGCATGTTATAGTGCTTACAGGACATAAACAAGCAATCATAGTCCTACTATCATAAGGACTTAATAGACTTTTTTTTTTTGCAATGGTTAGCTGTTCAAAAACCAAAAGCAGGTTGTAGTATCGTGTGTTACTACCCTCTAGTGCAAACCCACTTATTGATTCCCTTTACAGTGTATTGTTGAACTCAGCGTGAAAACTGGTTTTACATAATGTGAAGATAAAATGCAGGAGAAAAGGTCAGGATGTTTTCAAACTTCGCAGACAAGTTCAGGAAGGATACTATTACTCTTGAGGTCTCTGTGGATGATTGACTTGGCGTGTAAGTAACTGAAAAACAAAACATCATTTTAACCTGAGGAGGGCTAACGACTCTGGCCTCAGTATCTATAGAACACATTTAGGGGTGTAAACAAAGATTTATTTAGAATCATGATACAACTGCAAACTTCACATTGTGATAATCCCTTTATAGAAGAAACAGTAAAATAGGCTACAAGTGAACTGAGAATTTTAGGAACATATTACTATTATGGTACAACCAAAATCTTTTTTTCTATTGAATGACTTTGCTTTATCTTTTACTATTTACCAATACAAACCTTCTACTCCAGTCACGCCTATTTATCCAGGTCCTTTAAGTATACCTTGGTATTTAATCCCATCTCTGTGATCAGTGCTCCCCTCCTACACCAAATTAGCTTTCATTCTATTCTCCACTGAATCAGACTTATTCCTTAAGACTGGATATAGTTCTGACTTCTAAGTGACATTTTCCCAAGACTCAACCATAAATGAAGTGATCTTTCCCCTGTTCAATTATATAGTAATTACTGTAACAGTTTGATTCATGTTTGTTTGCTTTTTTTCACCTATGTTCACTTTCTATTTGGAATATAAACTCCATTTGATAAAATAAAATCACTTTTAAATGTTGTATTATATGTTCTTAAAATACCTTCTTAAAACTAGTGAGGAACTTTCTACTGTAACAGACACAGTGAATCTATTTCAAAGTCAATGATAAATTTAAATCATCTGTTACCCCTAAAAACTGCCTCAGTTGAGTTTATTGAGGGAAAGAGCTGTGTCTGGTTTGTTTCTGTTTATCCCCAGTGCCTAGTAGCATGCCTGGCATGTGGTAAATATTCAATACATATACACTGAATCAACAACAATGAGATAAATATAATGTCCTAGTGAAGGTTATTTTTCTTCATTTAACTGTAGGAAGAACAGACACATGAGACTTCTGGAATCTAACGATGACTATTAGGAAATAAATTTTGCCTTGAAGTAAGACTTTAAAATTCAAATGATATAATCAAAATTATATAATGAACACTGTTAAAAAGAAAACATTTGCAAATAATTAACTTAATTATTTATGCTTTCTCATCTTCAATTTCCTCATCCAGAGATCAAAACTTTGAAATTTTTTCTCATACAACATTTTTATTTAAAATTACTGCTTATACAAAGCCAACTCCTTCTCCTCCAATTACTCTTATATTATACTGTTTATTTCCTTCACAGCATTTATCACAATCTGAAATTATCCTGTCTTCATGATTTTTTAGGCTGAGAGTTTGATATGCTACATCACACTCACTCTTGCATCGAAAGAAAACATGGTTATCAGTTACAGGCCTCATATGCTTGAAAAGTGCTGCAGTGACATAGAAAGGTTCAAAAGGAGAAAAATGAGTCAATCAAAAGCTGTTCCAAGATGGGGAGACCTTATCCTCATCAGAAAGAAAAGTGGATAGGTCGAGATACTGGTGGTGGAGTTTGGGACTTCTTAGTATTTAGTACACAGAAAAGGTGTGGTCTCTGGAAAGAGGTCCTGTCTCCTTTGAAATTAAAGACAACAACAACAAATGGGTGGTACATATGAAAATAGAGACGCATGATGAAGTTACAAGATGGGAAGATATAGGTATTCTTGATGGATAGTCTCAATCTTTTCAACAAATTTGATACAAAGAAATATACCAAGAATAATGTAGATAGAAATGTAACTAGAGGGTTGAAGAGAGAAAATTTCTGACCAGGAAAGTACTAGATAACTAACAAGATATAAATATAATGGCTGAGCTAGTGATATATAATCATAAACAGCATAAATCTATTATAGGTCAAAGTTGCATACAGCTGCAACCTGAACTAATATTACTTTATCCGTGTGTAGTCTTTTATCATTTAGAAATTGCTCTACTAACTTGTATCTTATTTAATAAACTGTTTCTGCAACACTTCTATAACAAGAGCAGCAAAAGAGCAGAAATCCTGGTCTATATAATGGAAGGTTGGAAAGAGGAGAGACTCAAACTCCTCAGCTGGAAAAAAGGGATGAGTATCATACCTCAATCCCTACTCAATCCCTATAATATTCTAGATATAGGCTGACCCTAAACCATGATTTCCTTAAGCATCAACCAGTTACAATGTAAGATGCCACACCCCACAATAACTGGTTGAGGGTAAGGAAGGGAACAAGAATAAAAGGACTAAAAAAAAAAAGAATAAACAGACTTTGCTATAGATGATACAAAAGTCTATCGATGATACAAAAGTCTATCCATTATATAGGACAGTTACACTGGAACTCCTTCTAACCTTTCAAAGATGCTAAGAAGAACCCTCTAAGTTTATAAAAGTAGTGCTTAGTCGCTGAGTCATGTCCGACTCTTTGTGACCCCATGGGCTGAAGCCTGCCAGGCGTCTCTGTCCATGGAATGAATTCTCCAGGCAAGAATACTGGAGTTGGTTACCATGCTCTCCTCCAGGTGAGCTTCCCAGGCCAGAGATCGAACTCAGGTCTCCCCCATTGCAGGCAGATTCTTTACCGTCTGAGCCACCAAGGAAGTCCATAAAGGTAGTAGGAAAGAAAAAAACATGTTATAAACTAAATGAATATCATGCTCTTGATAGGTTTCTGTTAGGAGTCTCCTTTCCTGAAGAAAAGTATCCACCTACAGAATCAATTTAACCTTAAGAAGCTGGCACATCAGCTAGTAAAATTTGTTCTCTATGCTGTTTCTTTCAAGGTCTTATGCAAGATTCAATTTTTCAGCGTTCTTTTTAGACCATACTATGATGCCCTGACATCAAACTAAAAAGCTTCTGCACAACATAGGAAACCACCACCAAGATGAAAAAGCAACCTACCAAAGGGGAGAAAGTATATGTAAATCATGTATCTATAGGGAATATCAAAAAATAAAAAGAACTCACATCTCAGTAACCAAAAACTCAATCAACTTTTAAAAACAGACATTTTTCCAAAGAAGAAATACAGACAGGCTAACAGGTACATACATGAAAAGGTGTTCAACACCACTAACTACCAGGGAAATGCAAACCAAAACCACAACAAAATATCATGTCGTATCTGTTATAATGGCTATTATCAAAAAGGTAAGAAATGCCAAGTGTTGGCGAGGAGCAGATAAAGGGAATCCTTATGTACTGTTGGTGGGACTATAAATTGGTACAGCTGCTATGGAAAACAGAATGGAGGTTCTGCAAAAAATTAGACACAGAATTACCATACGCTCTAACAATCCCACGTTGGGGTATATATATCCAAAAATATTTAACTCAGGATCTCAAAGACACTTGCACCCTCATGTTCACTGCAGCATTATTCATAGCAACCAAGACATGGAAACAACTTAAGTGTCCATCAATGGATAAAGAAAATGTTAACACACACACACCCATATACAAAGCAGTAGTATTCAGCCATAAAAAATAAGGATATCCAGCCATTTATGACAACATGGATGGATCTCGAAGTCATTATGCTAAATGAAACAGGTCAGAGAAAGACAAATACTGCATGATGTCACTTACTTTTGCAATCTCAAAAAACAGAAAAAGCAAAACAAAACCCAAATTCCTTTCATTTTCCTTATGGTGGGAAAAAAATGTTTATTAAATCAGCCACTGTTATTATGGCAGCTACAGTCACTCTACTGACTCCTATTAAAATTATATTCAACTATAGCCCTAGAGAGTTGTTGTTCTTGCATGGCTCCACAAAACCATTTCCCTTATCCAAAATCTGTGTACTTTTCTATTCTGGACTTGAATAAGATTTCGTATTTTGCATACATGGCCTACATGTGCTTAGTTGCTCATGCGTGTCCGACTCCTTATGATCCTATGGACTGCTACCTGCCAAGCTCCTCTCCATGGGGATTCTCCAGGCAAGAATACTGGAGTGGGTTGCTATGCCCTCCTCCGGGGGATCTAGCCAACCTAGTGACTGAACCCAGGTCTCTGGCATCACAGGCGGATTCTTTACTGTCTGAGCCACCAGGGAAGTCCTGAGACATGCCCTGTAATTGTAGCTCATTAAAGTTCTAGTTTTCACTAAAAAATGAGTTTATCAGCTTGCGAATGATGCCTTCATCTAAGTAATGTATAAATATATGCTAGTCATATTCAAGAGAAGAGCCAGGACAAAACTCTCCTTGCGTAAGAACTTCAGGTATGATAATTAAACAATTATGAACCTAGTTAAATTCTTCATGTGTGTTATACATCTCTTTTTATCCTCAAGAATATCATGAGAGATTTTAGTCAAATACTTTGCTGAGATTCAAATACTGTGCCTACACCATCTGCCTAAATTATCAGTCTGGTCTATTTATAAAAGCCTCAAGTGTCTCTCACTCGTTTGCTGTTTTCTTACACTTTCAGTTATTTCTAAAATCAAGCAACTGACCTACAGACACATTAGCATTTCAGTCCTCTTTGATCTAATGCTACACAATTTGAATTAAGTTCATCAGTCTTTACACAGCAAGATGAATCTCTCCTCTGACACCAACGGAGAACTGTTAGCAGCTGATTGGACTAGAATGCGCGATGGTAGTGACAAGGTGTTATTTTATCCAAATAGAGTTTCAAATCCCAGTCTCCATTCTAGTTTGATGTTTTCCTCATCCCTCATAATCAGTGTGGAAGGTGAGCAAAACTTCAGGGAATGCCACTCTGCCAGTCTTATGTAGTTAGTAATCATTTACCACATTAAAATGATGAAAGTCCCTAGTAAGTGGAGATCACACATTTTTCAGTTGCATTCTACAGTGGCCCAAATTCAATTTTTACTTAGATTTTTCAGTTTCTCTCACTTTAAAAATCTAATTTATGGAGAGGTGTAACCAGTATACAACACAAAATGTACCCATTTACTATGTCAGTTTAAAGAGTTTTTGGCAGACACATATGTATACTTGTCTAAAGAACAATCATAATCAAGGTGAAGAATATCCATCACCCCGAAAGTTTCTTCATACATTTCTACAATTAACGGTACC